CTCTCTCTTCAACGATTGCGTCATTAACACACGACGATCATACTTATGCCCGAGCAAATTAACTGGCATTACGCATATAAACCGATTCTGCGCAGAATTGAAAACGATCAAGTCTGTCTCTTAGAGTTGACTGTTACAACCGCAACAAACGTGCCTCGTTCATCTGAGAGAGAATTAATGTTTGTACTCGTGTTTGATTATTATTTACTTGCCAGCAACAGCACGGTCTAAAATTCAAGTTTTTTTTTCCCCATTCCTTTTGTGTTGGGACATGTATTACCAAGCACGATACTTAACTAAATTAATTATTTCTTTTGGCGCGAAATAGTTGTATGTATGTTTAATTTATTTATTATTGGCTGGCAAACACAAGCCTTATTATGGCTTCAAATACTAATTAAATGCTGAACTCTCGTCTGAACCGGTGCAGTAGTTTGTCGCTTTTGATTCAATGAGCCATTATAAAGAGGAGAATGGGAGAAAAATGCGGTTTTTCACTTCTTGAATTACCGGCTCTGATTTATTCAAAGTAGTGTAATTGTGTAACCCAATTCGATTCAGACATGTGATAGTTTTTAATGAGGCAGGGATTCTCGCGTTTAACTCGTACTACACCAAAATGTTAATGCAACATACGATTAGAATGGCTCGATCGAAATGTGTCATGAGCACAATGTGTCTGTTTATGATCGCGCAGGCGTTGGGTTCGTCTGGAATTTTACATATATTCATATTGTTGAGTCTGCAGCCAACGTTCACGCTCCATTCTCTTCTCTTCTATCGCTGATTGAGCTTTTGACTTTGTAATGGCTTTGTCAATTATTTGATGGAAAATTAATCATCTTGCCGACTGTTTATTTGGGTCATAACTTATTTACGAAAATAGGAAATCAACAGAGTGTCCAAGACAAAAATTCCAAATTCTAGGGTATTCTTGATGCAAATAATAATCCTAAATCACTCGCACATATCTGCTGACACCACTGTTCAGCTTTTATGACGTAAATCCGAATATTTTTTTCCCATATTGAACATTCACAGGTCGGCTGCTTTTACGTTTTCAAATCTAGTTGATGCCTTGTTTTTCTCTGTCATTTTTTTGATATATGACAGCATCATGTTGATTTATTCTTATCAAATGAATGTAATAAATTTCCCTGGTAAGGCGATTAATTTCACAATAAAAATCGATTTGGCAAATTTTCATCGTAGCTATTTTTTGTTCATCTATGTTCGCCATTCTTAAATAGAGCTGACGACTGACGCTAAAGAAATATGATAAAAAATTTATGTGATGACTACTGTGACCTGTTGTCACTTTTTCTAAAAGCAACGATAAGAAAGTGCGTGTAATCCGTCCGGCTAATGACTGATTTATAAATAAAACGAATATTTCATTGAAATGTGCATCACATGCATTTAATCGCAATGATATTTGCGCTTAAATACGACAGAACTTTCACACGGAAAATGGTTTAAACGATAATTGCACATTTGACGATTGCATGTCCGACCAAATACGGCGTGTACACTAGAATATTTTATGATAAAAAGAAATTTCGGTTTTTTTCTCTATTTCTTTCAATACAATTACGGAATTCCCACGGATGACATTCGTTTATCGAGGTTTTGCTTTTCTCGTTTTTCTTGTAATTGTTCGCATTTGTAAATTCCAAACGCTATTGTCGTAATCAATGGACTTGATTGTGAACATAACAAACTTTTCCAAACACAACTGGTTCAAATAGTTAACATTTCGCAAAATTTGCATGCGGCTTACCGGTTCATTTCGGTTTGCTTAAAGGTTGTGCTTATAATATTTACGTGTTGTTTCGTCAGTTCATTGCTACTAGTTTGCTGTATATTTCAACTGATAACCAATACACGCACACACGTAATTAATGGATTAATGGCAACCACGTCATCATGTACGATTGATTCACTTGCATCGGATGGGAAATAAGATAGAAATGAATATATTTATGAGAAATTCGTAGCGCTCTCTCCATGTGCTTGTTTCAAATGCTCATGTACGTTTTCAATGTCGAATGTTAATACCACAAACAACCAATTTGGAACAGATTAGAAATTAAGTAAAGCCACTCCCAAAAATTCTAAACCCAAAATTCGATACATATACGAACCGAAAAACAAAACAATTTATGAAAGCCCATAAATTTAGGGGGGAATTTTCATTTCTCTGCCTATCATTTCGATAATATAAAATCAACAGAGCCAAAAAAAAAAAATTACGCAGAGGTAAAAAAACAGTCAAATATTTGCTGGAATACAAAATGTGGATATGAAAAAGTACAAATTCTTGTCGTTAGCTCATTTTTGAATTTGTGATTATTGTGTGCACGTGCGGAACCGAGCTTCTTTGCTGTCTTTGACTAAAGAGAGGAACGTACCAATTTGAAGTGTAGCTTTTCTTGCTCAAAATTTCCTTTGTCGACAACGAAATATGACTTTGCCACTTGCTTTCATGCAGAACTAATGATATTCTTCCTTTCTGTTTTGCACACCAATCGACTGGTGGTGGTAAGGTGTTGTTGACCTGTGAGCAGCAATTGTGCTGCCATTGTGTGCCTCTCTAATCGCATTTCTGTGCTAAATTTTGCTACATTGCAAGCGCAATGACTTTTGAGATCAGCAACTTTGTTTTGGCGCATGTGAAAATTATTGGTGTCGTGCGCACTCGCACTATGAAAAGAAAAAAAAACTGCTATGCCAATGTGTTTCGATTGTATTTTTCCCCCGCAACTTGATTATTTGTCATAGTATTATGAGTGCTATTTGTGCGGATTTTCTTGGCGCGTTTGGTACACGTATTTGCAATGAGAGGAAAATAAAGCAAGTAGATTACTGTTCGGCGTACTACACAATCAACAATCTCAACATTTTTTTTGCGAAATTTAATGTCTTATTAAGCGATATTGTGTATAGTTTGGAGTAAAAATGTAGGTAGGTCGGTAACGACCGTCATACGCATATTTTAGCAGCAGCAGCAGCCGCCACAGTCAGTCAGCCATTGATGATGACGATAAGAATGAAACATGCAATAAATTTGTATCTGTCATTCTTTTACAATGTACAGATAAAAATGCGACAAGATTGAGTAAATAAAATATATGATTTGCACGGAAATTTTCACGTTTCAACTTTATTCGTTTCTCTTTCTGCTTGTTGAACGAGTGGCTAATTTGGAAATTGTACTTTTATGAATTGCAAACACAATAAATGTTCGTTTTTTTTGTTTTTTTTTTTTATTTTCTCATAAGTAAATGAATGCCATATCGATAACATTATCAAGTGAACATCTATCACGCAAGCGTATCGCATGTAAATTGAGATGAAAAGTGGGACCCTTTCAAACCATCATTCATCTGTTCGCGATGCTTTGCCAAGTGCTCGTTTCAACTACGAATATAACGAATAAAATAGTCGAATGATTTGCGATGAATAATAATAAGTGTATAATTGAGTTTGAATCGCTGGCGAACAATTCAGCTCTATTATTGTCAATCACAAAAAAAGTGAATCATAATACCGAAATTGTGTTCTGTTTTTCTCTCAATAATAAGCCAAACCCACAAATTAACTATTGCGTCTTCAACGCCTGAAAAGAGAACTCACGAATGGTTGAAGATTTAGCGTGTTTTTCTTGTCGATTCAAATTTGAATATTGTTTTTTTTTTCTTCATTGTTCACTTGTTTGCATTCATATTTCGTGATCGGAAAGTGTAATTAATAGTTCAAAACATGATTCAGAATAGATGCACAACACGAATAAATTTGCCTACGGATTATTTCGTTTGAGCCAGCTCGATCTTTGGCATCGATTACAATGTCGAACGTCATAACAATGACGACACATCCGATACGATTGTGATAAACGATTTTTCTTGCTGTCATGGAGTTCATGAGCAACATGTGTGTGACGCATTAGTTTTTTCCTACTTTGTTAAGCTGAAATCACACATAATTCATTGTTTCGTCATTGTCGGCTTTTACAAGCATTATCGCCTCTGCGATAATCAAGTGCAGACGAGGTCGTTTTTTTTCTGTGAATTTTTATGTCATTGAATCTGTTGTAAACGATAAATTTTCACTTAGAATTTTTGAACCGCTTGACGACAACGACAATCGGCCACCGGAGGATATTCATGCCACTTACAAAATATAAGGAACAAACCGGCCAAAGTTTAAGACTTAGTTTGCATAATATAATAATAATAATTTAGTTTTCATATTTTGAAATATTTGATTTGATTCATAATAATCAAATGGGAACATTCATTTGCGTAAGTTTATGAATTATTTACACTTTGGTCGTGAAATGACGTACACAACCATGACAAAATGTGTAATGTGACTTTCGACAGAAAGAGAAATGTCATGAAAAAAAAAACCACGCGGTACTAACGAAACATTTAATTAAATTAACAAGCAGACATTTTTTAATTGGTGTTTTGAATTGGAAGCCAAAAGAAACGGCTTCAAATGTTTTTGGCACAAATAGATCGTCTTTTTCATGAATAATCAATTGGGCTCAACTTGAACCATTCACGTGAATTTCTCATGAGATTCTATGCGATCGCTCGATTTATAATGAAACAATCAAATGCCATGAAGGTAACTGAAATTCGACTGTGTGTTGTGTGTGTGTGTGTGTGTGTGTGTGTGTGAGAGAGAAAGGAAGATTTCTTGAAAGTCTTTTGTTCAAAATCCCATTTACAGTTTGGTGGTTTGCGTCATCATCGAAGTGTCAATAACAACAAAATGAATGTTATGACGCATGCAATTCGCTTAAAAATAAACTTTTATTCGCACGCCAATATACCAAAATACCGTCAACGTGAAATCGCTATTAAAGTCCATTCGATCATTATTTATTTTAAGATTTTTTTTTATTGCGACATTAATGAAGGAGGGAGAGCAAAAAAACTTGCAGAGGTACTAATCAGGATTTTTTTTCTACCTATTTTCGTTTTAAACAGCCGTCTGGATGGCGAAAATTACGAAATATCGTGCAATGGACACCATTCTTCCAGACATACAAAAAACAACGTTATCCATGGGTGCAATTGGCCGGTCATCAAGGCAATTTCAAAGCTGGTCCCGATCAAGGCACCGTCTTGAAAAAACTGTGCCCCAAAGAGGAGCTCTGCTTTCATGTAAGAGAAGCCACATTGAGAATGTATATATTTGGATTTTGTCGACGGATGTTGATTTTTTTTTTTTTGGTCATTGCAGTTTTTGATGAAAGATGTTTTGCGACCTTATGTGCCGGAATACAAGGGTCAAGTCACTAGTGATGATGGTGAACGTAAGCATTTTACGCGAAATTTGTATTGATTGCCAGCAATTGCTAATTTGTTTGCATCTACAGTATATTTGCAGCTACAAGATTTATTGAGTGATTTCGATCAGCCGTGCGTAATGGATTGCAAAATTGGCGTTCGAACTTATTTGGAAGAAGAACTCTCGAAAGCAAAAGAGAAACCAAAGCTGCGCAAAGATATGTATGAAAAAATGATACAAATTGACAAAGATGCACCCAATGAAGAGGAGCATCGTGCCAAGGGCGTTACCAAACCAAGATACATGGTATGGCGTGAAACAATATCCAGCACTGCCACATTGGGCTTTCGAATTGAGGTAAGCCAGTTGATTGCAGGAAAAACATCCGCATTTAGAATGAGTCGTTTATGATTTCGATTTCATTGACAGGGTATTAAAAAGGGCGATGGAACGAGCTCGAAAGATTTCAAAACAACCAAATCGCGTGATCAGATCAAAGCCGCATTCAAAGATTTCACTTATGGTTTCTCGAATGCTATAGTAAGTATAAATCAACAATTTTCTAATTCTATTTTAAGCTAAGAAAGTTCTATTCAAACGCGCTTATCTCATCTCTTGTCGAAGTGAGTGAGAAAAACCGATTAAATTAAATAAGAATGCAATCAATCCAAATGAATTGATAAAACCGAGTTATGATTACAGCTTGTGATTAAAGACAATTGAGATGCATTGCATTTAAATCGCTGCCACAATTATTATTCGTTGTTAATGTTTGTTTTGTAATTTTCATTGCAGCCAAAGTATATACAACGTCTCAAGGCGATTCGAGCAACATTGCAGCGATCGGACTTTTTCCAAACGCACGAAGTGATCGGCAGTTCATTGCTGTTTGTACACGATCGACATCAAGCCAGTATTTGGTTGATTGATTTTGCGAAAACGGTTTCGTTGCCATCGGGCGCCAATATCACACACACAAACGAATGGATCGTGGGCAATCACGAAGACGGATACTTAATTGGTATAAACAATCTCATTCAAATATTCGAAGAGATACTGGCGAGTGAAGCGAAATCAGAGCAATCCGAAAGTCGAACAAATGAATATGAGGCCAACGATGGTGACGAATACGATATACAAGAGTTATCGAAATCAAATTCAGTCAATTGCCCCGGTCAAAAACACTTCGACATAACATCGAGCATGCAAACACAAGAGAAGAATGTGGATCTTCCGCAGGAAATTGATGCTATGAAAATTGACCAAACGATGCAGCATTCCAGCCACGAACGAACTGAGGACAATCGTGACCAAGACAAATGAAATATAAACTAAACTAGTTAGCTTAATAATTCTCGCACGGCAGCCTCAAGTGTATGTATGTGTTTGTGTGTGTGTGTGTGTGTGTGTGTGTGTGTAACACAGAACAACTAATAGATTTAGGTGCGATTTTTAGGCCGTCGGACTAAACAGTTGGTTAAACACTGCGTGTACTTCTTAAAACGTTTGATGAGAATCTTGCAGGCCAATGCATTGCAATTCATTCCAAATTGCAACCTCATAAATCAATTAAAAAAAAATTTCATTAGCTAAAAAAAGGAAGAAAGAAAACAAAATGTTACATTTTGTAATCATTTAACATCTAATTGGACATAAGACTGATTTATTGTTTAACTTACGAAACACATTCATTCATCTCATTTCAATAGTATAGTTAAAAAATTAAATTCACACATTGAATGGGATAACTCTGAAGCAAAGATGAAAAGAAGAAGTAGAAGAAGAAGTATTAGAAACAAAATAAAGATTCTTACACATTTGTTTGAACAATGCGCCAAACTCATACCACAATTTGCTGATTGAGACAATCTACACATAGAGAAAAAAAGTAGCGTTTCTTGGTGTTAGTGATTCTTTTTCTATAATATGAAACATTTTTTTTTGCTGAAATTTTTTATTGTGTTGGTGCAAATTTGACAAAAAAAATTCCAAAAAAGAATCTATCACTTGTCAAATTCACACCAATACAACCAAAGTTTTTTTCGACGAAATTTTTTTTCTTCATAATAGCAAAAAAACTTTGGGTCAGATTCAAGAAAAAGAATAACTAACACCAAGAAACGCGACTTTCTTCCCTGTGTGGAGTAATCGTTTTTTAAGGTGTTTAATGAAAATCATTTATTAGAATCATCATTGTTGTCATGAATTTAGGATTGGAGTTATTATTTAGGCACATTGCTAATGTTTAAGGATGAGCTAAGCTAAAAACAAACACAAAATCTCTTTTTTGTTCTTTATTATTTACATACATAATTTATCTTATTTATAATTTTTAGGAAATTCATTAGGCAATTTGATTTGCCCGATTCATTATCAAAAAAATTTAGTGTGATTCGGAGAAAATGTTAAAAATAAAAGTCAATTTAAAATTTGAAGATTTACTATTTTTGTTCCTTTCTGTTGCTATTACGTATTAAATCAAAACCGGGAAATATATTTATAGAGTCTGAAGATGTGTTGAAGGTATGATTTTATTTAGAGTTTTTTTGTTGCTAGCGTTGGTGTTTCTGGAGTTGGAGGCATTACCTTTGCTAATGGACTTATTGTTTGTTTGAATTGAGTTCGTCTCAGTGCTAATGGTGTTGCATGTAGAGAAGAGCTTGGTCTACGCAGTGGCATAATTGTAGTTGAAGGTACAGCACTGAATCGCCGCAAGCGACGTTGTATTACGGGACTGAGACTTACAGCGCTGGAAGGAGAATCGACAACGGGAGTCACATTAAAACGATTTGGACTTGAATTTTGTCGCATCGTTGTCAAAATTCGATTCCGAGGCATGGCGACTAGCGACGGTCGGCGCGGTTTTAAATAATTCGAACCGACCGGTGGTATTTCGAGTGGAGAGGAAAATGAAACCGAACCGCGTCTTGTTAATTGTGGAACCATGGACATGCGACGATTTACACGACTGTCGTGTGTTTTTTGACCCAACATATTTCTGGTGTGTGCACTTTCAATGGCTCGTATCAAATCGGCTATTGTTGTAGTTTCAAGCACGTGTTCAGAGCACGCTGATTGATTCGATAGAATGCTTGGGCGCCTCTTTGACTCCCCATTTAACTGGGGCCTATTTACAGTATCCATTTTAACTGAAGCTCTCCTTCCCAAGGCCGGGGAAATCTTAACCGAAGGCGTTGATGGCTGCTCAATTTGTTCGATTGGCGCTTCAACATTCGATGGGTGCATTGTGTTTCTTCGCTTGAAAATATTATTAAATGCATTGAAAACGGATTTGCGGCGATCCACGTTTGCGTCAACATTTCTCGGTTTGTCAATATTTATGAGAATACCGTTGGTATCTTTTTTGAGGATCTTTTTCGGTGCTTCTTTCTTATTTTTCACTTGAGCATTTATGTAATCTTGAATGTCATTGTTGTTGCCAGACCACGTAAATTGTGGAGTATCTGATTCTTCGTTTGAAATTTTCGAAATCTGTGGATGCAATGACCTGGCCCGCGATCGGAATTTCTTCGGCATTTTCTGGTTCGACTGATGACTTGGTGTTGTGATAATCGACCATTCATCTTCGAGAATACTTTCGTCAGAGAAGAGATCAATTCCTCCAGCAGATGATGGTAGTGTAGCAGTTGGTTCCTCTTTATTTGAATTGAAATCGTTTAAAGCGAAAACCACTTGAGCCAGTATCTCACCGGTATTGTCCAGGATATTATTTTGATTGAAAGTCTTATCTCTATCAATACGCATTAGATTGGTTTCAGAGTGTCGGCTTTGGAGTTGCAGCGGCCATTGGTCTAGTTCATCTGCAGCGTACTTATCATCACTGAAGAAATTCTCAGAGAGGGCTCTCTTTCGGCGGGGAACAGGACTACTACAGCCGAATAATGTGAGGTTTGGACAGGATTGTGAACGATTTTGTCTATAATTCAGCTGCACCTCGCTTGCCTCTGTGAACACGGGCTAACAAAGAAAAGAAAAAAAGAAAATGAATAAAAGAAAAGTTTATAAGTTGATGAGGTAACATTTTCGTATAGATGAATCAATTGTATAGTATCATAAAAAGGTATCTTGAATGTGAAAGTGAATGGAACAAACCCTGACTCGCATAATATATACTTCATTGAGGATTCTTCTCAGATAGCCCACATCTTTGGAAACTCCGCTCCATATTCGATTATGTGTTAATTTGATGTTCTCAGCGAGCTGTTTTTCGAAGCGGCTGATCTTTTTGCTTTGCATTCCACGTGCGATAAATCCAATTAGCATGAGAATGTAGCAGAGTCCGAATACAAACCAAACCAATACGAAAATCTGATAAAACACAAAATAAATACCAAACGTGCGCTCCTGTTTAAATGGAAAAATACAATGATTAATTTGATTTAATTTCTGCAAATTCGAGCACTTATACTTGATGTGGTTGAAAAGTGGGTACGAAGTCGCCAAAGCCGATTGTCTGCGAACGATTTTTTACGTCAAAAAAGTCCCCCAAAGTGTGTCAGTAAACATATATAATAAAATAAAACTTAATATTAGTCGTTCAACACTACCAAAACTATGGTCATGAAAGAAATAAAGTAAAAATATTAAAGAAAGAGTCTTATTTATGCCTGTTGTAAGTGGTTCGGATTTAATTAAATCCAAAGATTTAATTTTCAACTTTGCGAAAACGGCCAAAAAATGAAAGCTGATTGGGTAGGACGTAAAATTTGTACGTTTTTTGAGTCCAAATATGCAAAAATATCATTTTTCGTATATTCTCAACATTTAATTTTCAAATGCGGGATTTAAGAATTTTTCACGTTAAACAGTGAGTCAAATAAGGCAAAAGTTGTGGGAAATGGTCCGAAAAATCTAAATCAGTAATAAAAATCAAGCACTTTTGACCATTTTTGGGTTCAAATAGGCAAGAATATCAGTTTACGGAAACCCTCAGTATTTCACTTTCACATAATGGTGAATTTTTTTTGGAAATCTCGTTTTTCGACAGTCTGCCCATTCAAAACTTCTAGCCAGCTTCAAATCAAGCACCGAAAGCCATATCTGTGGCTTGTTTATTGGGATTTCAGGTCAGCACAAGATTTAGATAGGTAAATGAGTTTTTTATGAAACCATGAAAGTAAAATCCCAATAGAAATCCCGTTTGTGATATTCCAAACGTCATGAAACTTTCTGGATCTTATTTTTTTTACTAAAAAACTCAATCCCTGAAATTTTGAAGTCAATCGAAAGCGATTTACGGGTACCTCCCATACAAATTTTCTTATTTTCTTCATAAAATTGGCAAAACTGGCCAAATTTGTATGGGAGGTACCCGTAAATCGCTTTCGATTGACTTTAAAATTTCAGGGATTGAGTTTTTTAGTAAAAAAAATAAGATCCAGAAAGTTTCATGACGTTTGGAATATCACAAACGGGATTTCTATTGGGATTTTACTTTCATGGTTTCATAAAAAACTCATTTACCTATCTAAATCTTGTGCTGACCTGAAATCCCAATAAACAAGCCACAGATATGGCTTTCGGTGCTTGATTTGAAGCTGGCTAGAAGTTTTGAATGGGCAGACTGTCGAAAAACGAGATTTCCAAAAAAAATTCACCATTATGTGAAAGTGAAATACTGAGGGTTTCCGTAAACTGATATTCTTGCCTATTTGAACCCAAAAATGGTCAAAAGTGCTTGATTTTTATTACTGATTTAGATTTTTCGGACCATTTCCCACAACTTTTGCCTTATTTGACTCACTGTTTAACGTGAAAAATTCTTAAATCCCGCATTTGAAAATTAAATGTTGAGAATATACGAAAAATGATATTTTTGCATATTTGGACTCAAAAAACGTACAAAGTGGTTGGGTTTTTTGCTGATTTAGAATTTTTCGGTCATTTCCAACAATTCTTGACTTATTTGCAACATGATTTTGCGTGATCTTCAGGATTTAACGAAATTCGGGAAAATCATGATTTCAAGGCCCCATAAGGCTTATCTGGTGTACTCAAAAGGCCAATTTTTCTTGTTTTCGCCCAAATTTTACGTCCTACCCAATCAGCTTTCATTTTTTGGCCGTTTTCGCAAAGTTGAAAATTAAATCTTTGGATTTAATTAAATCCGAACCACTTACAACGGGCATTAGTAAAAAGCCAAGGTACTGAATGCGTTCTATACAAGTCTAAGCATTATCATGTGGACTTATAATCTTATATGATTTCCCTGGTTAAGAAATCCCCTATTTGAAAACACTACCTCCCCTGTACTATTGATGACGCCTGTAGGCAGAAACGAGTCAGCGAATTTCTTCGATTCACTAAGCATAACATTTAATTTCATTCAAAAATCGTCATCATTCAGATGCAGGCATCTTAACGGTTTCAATTCTCGTCTAGTACTTAACTATTTTGTCTATATTTTTTCTCTCTACACTTTTTTCTATCCTCTCTTTTCTTTCTTTCTTTGTATTTTCTTTAACAAATTCAAAAAATTAATTGAATAATTAAAGAAAATGTAATTTACCAACAGAGTCACAAAACTATAATAGACGGAGATCGAATAATCCCAGCCTTCAAAATAAGTGAACAACACGGAGGGTAGAAAGATGAGTATGACCAAAGCCGGCAAAACGAGCGAAAGCGTAATTTTGGTGACCATGGTCCATCGATGTGGGCTGTAATGTTCGTTTGCATGCATATGTCTCGCAAATTCAAACGCCTTATACTTTCTATAGACTTTTATGAACTAGAAAAGATATGATAAACTGGTAAGCGATCGGCAAAACTTGCATTAAATGCATTCGTTGTCTTACATTCGATCCAAAATATTCGCCCAGATATGTGTACAGTATCATATTTACGGGCATACCGATCAAAGCGTAGGCAATCATAAAATACCGCCCAAGTGTACCCGATGGTGTGATGTTGCCATAACCCAATGTCGAACATACGATAAAGGCGAAAAATACTGAATGATAAAATGTCCATTGATAGGGGTTAACGAACTCGTCCTCATGCGGATCTGTTACAGGTTTGTTACAATAGGATGAGAGACGGCTGAGTATATCTTTCTGTATTTGAATATCGTCTGGAGATGTGAATGCAACGAGCAACTCTGAAAACCAAAACAAACATATTAATGCAAAGCAACAAACTCTAAACCAATCATCAATCACGGAAAATAGCCGAATAGACAAGACATTCGAAGATGCAAATTTGCATTAGCGAGCGATGCTAATGTATGAGAGTTTCGTTGTGTTAAATTTTTTTCGCGATAGTAGTATATACATTACACAATAGCATGTGTTACCAACCATTTTTCAATGAATTTAACCGTTCAGATGGAACATATCTAAAATTTAAAAAGCTCTAAAAAGCTTTCATTGCCAACAATAATAAAGCCACTTGCTTATACACTGTGAGATAACAAGTGAAGAATAGATCACTGCATATGTGTTTCATGTTAATCGCGACTATAATGAACTCATTTGTTTCGATTTAAAGCCATTACGGGTCTTTTAGCTGATGTGTTAATTACTGTTAATGAACCATAAAATTGGCATAGGTTTGTTGAATTCTATCGGTATGATCACTGTGATGCTTTGTAAACACTTCTTCTTCATAGAAATACAAAAGGTTTAAGCAAACGGTTTAAATCTCGATTTTTCAAAAAAGAAAAAAATAATCCACAAAATGAATTTAAAAATAAAAAATTCTAGGTGATCACATCATCCACCATCCACAATTGTTCAATTGAGCACGAGCACGTGACTGCGATAAAGTCTTTGAAGAAAATCATCACAAATTGATCAATTTCATTTCACTGTGTTTGTTCAACAGAAAATTGCGCTTGATTCAATGACACTATTGAATGGGCTTATGGAATATCATGGCAACAATTTTGTGCGAGGTAATAATTCCTTCATAATTCATCCGTTATAGTGGCAAAAATTATACCACAACAATCTAGACGATGAATCTCGTTCATGTTGTGCCAATTGAATTAAATTTAATTTTTTTAATCTAGGAAGAAATAACTTGTCTATTTTCAGCCATCAGCACGATATTGACCGCAATTTCAATCAAATGCCTGAGTTTTTCCTGTTCATGCTTTTTAGAATTGTCAGAAAAATTCCACTGTTGAAAAGGACGACGATTTTCTTTGTCTGTGTAGTGTACAGTGTGCACTCAATTTATAATTGGGCATTTGTTTCACTTTGTTCACACTTTATATTTCAGATGATTAACTCATATAGAGATGACTCAGTTAAAAATTCTTGCAAAAATGGCAATTGAAATGTATTCTTTATCATTCACTTGAATTGAATGTCAAATTGAATTTTTAGGAAAATATTTGAATGAACATTGATCAATATTGTGTTAAAATATTAACACTTTTCTTGTCTTGACTGAACATTAAACGTAAAATATAATTGAACCACCTACCATTGATATCGATACGAGCCTGTAGCTCTGTGGCACGTCGTTCTGTTTCCGCTTTGTGTTCGATGTGATAAAAAACGCACGCACCTTGAATAACGTAGTTGATTTTAATTTCGTGTTTTAAAAATTTCATCTTTTGCAAGAAAAAAAATGTATAGGATATTGGACAATTGAGTACCATTCTCGATTCCTCGACCAAAACACTGAATTAATCTTGAGAATATCATTCAATTCCAAACATTTCAATTTTCTTACCGAAAATTAGGTACACCGTGTAAAATGTTAATAATATAATCCACTGGCGTGGTGCGAGGCCCATTTTATTATTATTAGTGGTTCACAATTATCTTTAAAAAGTTCGTTTCCAAATTGAAAAATTGAATAAAAAATCTGAAACACTATTATTTATTCACTTTGTTCTCACTGTCATAATTTTTGATACAAAAATTTGTGGATTCGAATAAATTTGGAATTATACGCTACAAACCGACTAAATATTAAACTTGATGCTGCCACATGAGAATTATAGCACATTTTCGAATTTCAGATGGAGAACGTCCGAATGCATCAAAAAGATATTTCAGTTGTACTCCAAGTGTAAACTGAACGACAACCAGACGATAAATGTAAGGACTGTGAAAATGATTGAAAATAAATATTTGTTGGGCTATCCAAGCGACTCCTATTTTATGATCTTGATAATTAATCCAAAAGTTCTGTTGGCTATTCGCAGAAATGGAAACACTAAACTTTAATTAAATTAGTCGAAATAATAAAACAAAAATATACGAAAATATTGGCCTTGGAATGAAGAATCCCATCGTTTTTGCGTGGTTTTCGTTTGTTGTAGCCAAGAGGTATAAAAATCGGAGTGTGTCAATTCTCTCTGTGGCACAATGAGGCGCAAGTCGGCAGACATTTTTCAATTAAACCCATTCGTACTTTTATATTATCAGCATTATGTGAATGTGTGTCTCAGAGTCTTCATCGTGATTTGTATGCATTATATAATCCAATTGAGTGGGAGAGATCAAATTCCGGACAAAAGAGAACATCATCAGAATCATGTGTGAAACACTCAAAAGAACAAGTGATACATTAGCCAATCCGTTGAGTTTATACGTCTCTGTGCATGTGTACAGACTTACTTTGCATCTATTTAATTCTACACTGCACATTACGTTGTACTTTAAGTCATTGTAACATTCACTGTTGAAGAAAACTACATTTCTATTTGTTTGTTGAACAAATAAGTTAAAAGTCAATAAATCAAGTACAAAAGGATTATGCACCTATATTGGCCAAAATTCAGACAACATTTCGTTTCAAAGTTATTATTCCAAAGATCTATCTACCGGTTGTTGAATAATTATAAGTGAGGCTGATCAGAGCATTCAATGAAAATTCCATTCCATTTCATTCGTTAAAAATAACGCAGTTTATAAATATATTTCATATGTTTCTCAGAAAACGAATACATATTCTCAACAAAATATCAACTAGAAACATAAATGCCAACATTTGAACAGCTTTATAAACTAAATTAAAATAAAATAAAAAGTGGGAAGAATACATCGTGTTAGTTACTATAATACTAATAGTAATAGTCACTTGAATGCTACCACTAACTTAATCTAATTTATCGCACTGTATATTTGATTGAATTTCATTTTGATTCGCTCCTTCTACGATTTATGTCTGTGTTTGTATTGAAGAGCTGTGAACGACTTGTTTGTCTGTCTTGCGGTACATTCAATCGGGTTTCTGTGACCGGAGCTAGAAGGGCACTGCGATTCACCACTGGTGACATTTCCAACGGCGAAACCGAATAATTACTTGAATCGGTTGAAATTGACCGTAATCGGTTTGGCCTAAGATTTAAATTGTTGTAGTCTGTGAGTAGTGGGCTCGGTCGCGACAATCTCCTTTGCAGTGTTGATGTCGCCTGAATCGATGGCAACGATGGCATTGGTGATTGGCCTGGCGGAATGCTGAGCATTGTCGGTCGTACACTAAAACGGCGATGGGATTTACGCGGAGTGGATTCTGAATATGGTGGTGGGCCCACTGAAGGAGGAACTAAAAGTGAGGAACGTCTGGTTGATGGAAGATCGACAATTGCCGATTGTCTTCGATTCGAACGATAGGATAACGGTGTATTCGCTGTAGATAGTGGTCGCATTGAGTTACGACGATCTCGCGGCGATCGCTGCTGCGTTGGTGTTGTTGGCGGGAAAATATTTATCAGTGGTGGCGGCGACTGCTGCTGATGCTGAGTTGTGGAACTTTGTACCATTGATATACTTGACCCCAGTCTGGGCCGTGGATTGTCCAATAAGTTCTCCAACAATGGACCATCTCCTGTTACAGCCTGTGTATGCATAACTTCAAGTGCCCGAATCAAATCGGCAATTGTTGTATTCTCCAAAACATCGGCGCTGCCTTCATCAGTTGTCGACATTATTGAAAACGTACTTGTTCGCCTTCTCCCCGCAGGCGTGACATTGGCAAATGGAGATACACTAATACGCGAACCCCGACCAGCGGATGTGTGATCCAAATAATTTTTGATATCCAAACGGTCTGGCAACAGGGACATTTTTCTTGAATCATCGCGTTTTTTGAACGGATTAAATCGGCCAAATATTGATGGCGAACTGGCTCGACTGGGTGGCAGTATTGTTTGCGGAGACATTCCTTCTTCCATATTTACAACTGGAGGATTTTCGACTTTGGGTGAGGTGAGCGCTGTCCGGTACAAATCCGGAGACTTTTTCTTGTTGACATTTCTTAAGCGCCTAAATTCTTCGATTTGTTGATTATTTCCACTCCAGGTCCAATCATGTGAATTATTTAGCTCCAATTGATCTGGCATTGGAGCGCGGAAGTCGGATGCCGCTCGACCACGTGCTTTGGGTGGCGGTACTGCATAGCTGCTTTCGGAAAATGGTAGTGACCAATTGCTTTGTTTTTCACTGGCCAGAATTTGCGAATCGGAAAGACCATTGAAACCGCCACTCATTGCTGCGATACTTTGTGCTTCGTCGTCAGCCGCTTTGATATTGCCCAACGCGGTGAAGACTCGTGCCAACAACTCCGTGGGCTGCAGTTGCAAGTTAGATTCATCAAAGGCTCGATTTCGATTAGCCTTGCGATTCAGATCTCCATCGGATTGAACGCGGTGCATATTTGTCAGATTTGATAAAAAGTCTGGCTCATCATCAACGTGATAAAATAGAGATTGGGCCCGTTTTCGGGCTGGTTCAGAGCTTGGACGATAAGTAGTCAAATCTGGACATGACGACGTTCTTCTTTGAGTGCTGCACACTTCTGGCTCGTCGTCGTCAGTACCCTGTGGGAGAACAAATGCAAAGTATTTGTGATTTGGATTCGAGCGTATTTTTCTTCGATTCACCATGTGTATCAATCAATTTACCTTGAATCTCATAAGATAAACCTCGTTCAATATACGCCGCAAATAGCTCACATCCTTCGTAACACCATTCCATATGCGGCTCTGTGTGGCCTTTATATTTTCCGATAGCTGATGCTCCAATCGCGTTATGTGCTTACTGCGCAAGCCCCTAAAAACAGCAGCGATTGGTTAATTGAATGAATATATAGGCTGTGCGGTGTTCAATAGAGTAAAGCATCTATTTAATACTTACTTTGCAATGAAGCTCATAATCATGACTAAATAACCGAGGCCAAATATGAACCAAAATATGATGAACACTTCGTAAACGTAGAACATAAAACCGAAGTTATCTATATTCTCTTGCGACTGGAATGTTGGGACGAAATCTGTATATTTGTTTGTGTACGAGTGGTAAATGCACATTCATCGAAAAGGCAAAAAGGTGAAGATGAGCATACAATGTAGAAAAAATGTATTAATTTAATTTATTTCTGCTTGTCATTTTGTTTTAGCAAGTGCTTTAGTCTGTGTCATAGTATTTGTTCTAATATTTGATCAATTTTATAGAAGAGAATATTTATTACCGCCAAATCCGATGGTTGATAAGGTGACGAAGCTGTAGTAAATGGCTTCTGAATAATCCCAACCTTCAAAATATCTGAATATTAACGCGGGCAGAAAAAGAAATATGACCATACCCGGAATCAAATATAGCACAATTTGAGCAATCAACCCAAGCTGGTGGGGCATGTAATTTTTGTTCGTTGCCATTTTGTATGATTTGTATCGTTCATAGGCCGTTACAAACTTTTTGGGAAAAATAGAGGGATTTAATTAACATCTTTTTTTATAATTTTAATGGGCAAAAATGTTAATTGATATTGTAACTGCCTATTTGCTTCCTCTGCGGTGAAACGAAGCCCGCCGCGTTGAACAGGCGAGATAGTGCACACATCATTAGCGAGAGCAGTACAGCACACTGCAAGGCGCATAATACGAACTGAGCATAGAAGCGTAGAGAGCCAATACACACCAGTACGCATGGCTACTACGATTGAGTATTCTCAGTCCTGTGCAAACTCAATCGTTGTAACAAGCGCGTGTCTGTGTGTTGGCTCTCTACGCTTCTATGCTCAGTTCGTATTATGCGCCTTGCAGTGTGTGTTGAAGCGAGAGCATTACAGTGTGCTGTACTGCTCTCGCTAATGCGGTGTGCACTATCTCGCCTGTTCAACGCGGCGGGCTTCGTTTCACCGCAAAGGAAGCATATGAGTGGTTCAAAATCAATCAAATTTTCAGATACTGAAATTCTGTTGCTATATATATAGAGCTGTTCCATGCTGAATCTCTCAGCTCAGGTATTAATTGCGTTGCTATTACGTACCATACAAAATTGATTTGGAGAAATTCGGCGGAAAATCAATGTTGTAGATGCATTATGCAAACACAAATGGCACCTGAGTTAAGAATTTCAGCATAGGGTACCGCTTTTTAGTAACTTGTCAGAACAAGTAATTATGAAAATTGATCAAAAATGTTTTCAACGAATAGTTCAAACTTACTACTTTCCCGAAGAAATCTCCTAAATATGCGAATAAGAATCCATTCATTGGAATCCCAATCAATGCATAAAATATCATGAACATGCGCCCCGTAATAGTCGACGGACTGATATTTCCGTATCCCACGGTGGAGCACACGGTAAACGAGAAGAAAAACGAATGGTAAAAACTCCATGTCAACGGTGCTTGATGTACATCTAAAGTGAAATTTGTAACCGGCTTTCCACAATAGTCGCCGACGATTTGTAGAATTTCTTTGTGATACTGAGGTTCAGTATATCTCATCAGCAATTCTGTAAGGAGTAGCATAATAATTTTATGATGATTATATGGTCATAAATAATAAAACAAACGCACTTAACCAATAAAATGGGTCAATTAACTAAATATGAAATTTCAAAAGGTGCTATTAGTTACGATAAATTGTGAAATAGTGCAAATCCAATTGAGACAGGAATTGATATTGGCATGAAGAGTCATGATAACACAAATAAAACACATAATAACAACAATATTGTAATGATCTTGACTTTCCCATTCAATATGTGCTAATGATTTTGATAATCGGTGTTGTTGCATCAGTCAAATGCATTCCAATGGATGATGAGTGCCGGTAAATGAAAAAAAAATGTATGATGAACAAAAACTGGTGGTGTGAAATAGCTCGATAGTGCTTGTTCAATTGGTGTAAAAATGATGGCAAAAGCTCGAAATTCAAAGTAGTAGTAATTGCAGAAAACGAAAAAGTAAACGAGAAAAAAAAATTGCTCCGAGCCACTGATATGAAATCATTGAGATAAAGCAATCAATATATGGGGATTGTAAAACGATCGGTTTATTGATCTTGGCCAATGGAGTGCCGCATATAAATTGGTGTATGTACATAATTGCCCGTCATAAGTCATTTTTGAGACTACAAATATGTGTGTAGTGCATCGGAATGGACGTTGATACTATAATAATGATGAATGGTCGATATAATGAGCGTACTTAAGCATGATCAATGATAAAAGTGAAAAGAGCGTAGATTCTTGGTTGGTATTGAAATTGTGCAAAGCAGGCCTGGAGGTTACATAAGAAGGGTTAACGATTTGCATTGATAAGGAATGAATTGTGAAATTTTCAATCATCCTATATTGATATGAGTTGATTTACTGCGTTTTAATCTGATAACAGACAGTCGTTTTGTTGCACGGATTGATTTAACAACAAATTTTATTCGATAGATGATTCCGTTAATTTTAAACATATAATTTTCCCACTGTTTTCCATATTTTTATAGGCTTTTATAAGTCAATTCAATCTTATTTTACCATTAACATCGATGCGACGTTGTAACTCTTCGCCAAATTTATGAGCCTCCGAATCACGTTCGATGTGATAAAAAATGCTCGCTCCAAATAGCAAATACGAAATATAGAAAAAGAATAATGCAAGCCACTGTCTGGGAGACATTTTTTTTTACCGTATAACAATGATAATCGTTGTGTAAATCCAAATATTTTGACAAAATATCGAACAACTTTTTTCTTTCTCGAGCTTAAAAATTAACAATAAAATATTTTATCACATGCACATGCATAAGAACAATAATTGATTCCGTACTGATAAATTCAACCACAAGAAACATATCGATCATCAGTGTCCATTTAGAAAAAGAAACTGCTCTGTTCAGACCGACAAGTTGGCCGCTGTGAATCAAAGAGGTTATCCGTTGTTTTGAAATTCAGCACGTGATTACGTGATTGTGGTTGCGGTTTAAGCAATTTAATGCTTCAAAAGCTATTTCTTTGTCGCTCTAATACGTCAGCATATTTTTAAAACATCACTTTTTTTCGCTTCATTTTTTCATTGTACCAAACGTGTGTAAATTGTCTATGGTACACCTTAAACGTATGTCAATTATTTGTTTAAAATCAATTTGGTTTGCTGACAGCGTTCGGAGCGTTTGGTGTCTGGTTTTTTCACACAATAAATGCATTTTTAATTGACTGTTAAAGTTTAACTCAAACCACTAAATCACAATCGTACACGTCTTCGACTTGATTGATACACATTTTTTTCGCGTTTAAAATTCGAATTTGTAATTCTTGATTTTGTCGATACTGCGTCGTGTAAATGTCACATCGGGCTGGAAATTGGAGTGAGAAAAGAATTTAGTATGTTCTTAACGTTGTCAGTGTTTGTGAACGGTAAAATATATTTCAAAGCGTGTGAGTCAAGCGAACAAGGAACCAAATACACCACATCAAACATTTGCGCGGTGATAGAAACAGACTAAACAACAAGTGGCCGAATGTGATAATCTTTGAGCTAAACATTTGTGTATTGTGAGACAAACGGCTGATTTTAGTTTGCACTTTCTTTGTCAATCACAATTTTATTTTTCTTCTTTCCCGTTGGATACACTCGAAAAATGCCGAAACACGATCGAAATTCTATTGAATTCTTGACAAATGATGTAAAGCGTTGACGCTCTTTTGAACAATTATTACCATAAATTTGAGAGTCATTTGATATTTTTGAAACAATAGTTTATTTAAAAAGAAAAAAACATGTGTGAGCAACGAAGGTGTGTGCTGGAAATTCATTGAAATTGAGAACTCTCGATTGTTTCGCGTGTAGCAATGTGGTCGCAAAAAAAAAAAGAAAACGACAACACGTTTTTGTTTAAACCATTTTGAATGCGCAGCGAAATGCTCTGTTTTGGGAATAAGTCACGTTGATCTCCATCATTCAAAAGATATATTTTTTCTAAAGCAATGAGTTGGACTCGGCGCTAAAGCATGCACGAGATACAAAAAAAGTATCAATGGCTATCATTCTTCAGGTACAATTTTTGGCGCGTTCATTCATTTTTTTTTTCACGAATGTCAATAAATTGACGACCATTCAAAGTCTTTAATATAATCGGATCAATTGATAGCCTATTTGAGAAACAGGTAAATTGATACATGGTGCCTTTTCAACCGTTTCATTCGTTTTTGTTTTTATTGTGATCGACCGCGAAAAATAGCAATTTTGTATTTATTTTCAAATGTTTACCAATGGATTGCTACAAAAGCTAAAAATAAATTGTGAATAACTGAAATAAAGCTATCGCACGAGTTAAACATAGATCATTTTTCTCACATCAACTAGCCATAATTTTTTGGGTAAACAATGATCAATCGGATCTTCTTTGGAACAAATTTTCTACGCTTATTCAGGAGAGAGAAAAAAACGGCTCCAACACTACGATTGCATTCGATTCTTGACTTTTCAGTTAGTTTTACGTTCAAATTAACGTTGAAATGATTTTTGGTCAGCTTTGCTTATACTACACAATTTTGCTGATAAAGCATCTGAAGTCAGTTAAACGTCGTGTTTTTGACAGCCGTTATGTTTTGATATTGTTATGATCACCACTTTTAGAGCAAAATCCATTCAAATGAATCACCAAATCGACAATAACATTTTCCCACTTGAAACTAGTAGTTATGTTAACCGATGAGAGTATTTGGTTCCGTATTTTTGTCCACATCCCTGACTAAGGATGATTAAAACTACTTTGGCGTATATTTGACCAATTCACATTTAACACTGACTAACGAATTTTAAACAAAGAAAAAAAACGATTTAAAATAAATGAGCCAAAAACTCAAATTTCCTTCCAATACTTGAAACAACTGATTTTACTAACAATTTAGCGTTGATTGCCGGCTTAAAATTGTCGATCATTTTCTCCGTTTTCTAATGGAATTGTAAAGCAAAAATAATTGAACTACTTTTAATGAGGCGTTAAATTGAGTTCGATTGGCAAAGAGAAATAGCCATGTATTATCGCGATTAAAACCAATCAATTACTGACTGACCGATATCACTTGTGCGGAGCTCTTTAAGTGTGCCTCGACTGATTCCTTGCTCGCTGCTCTTTTTTTTTCTGCGAAAAATTTTCATCGCATACACATATCCACGTACATATATGTGCTGAAAAATTAAGAGTCAGACAAAACTCACTTGCAAACAATTGAACGGTGAGTCGCGCAAAATTTTGTGTGTTGATAGTGTCGCATTTAATACAAGGGACAACAAGGACAGCAACACAACCATACCAAACGCGACATTTATTGTACAAATATATTCTATATGCTAAACTCAATACAAAAAAAAATTCGTAACAACAATTATGATCAATAAGAGCTACCTGCACGACCAATAACAACACGTTCTGAATGAGTATGTCGTTTCGGTTTATATTTTTTTTGCGCTTCTGGCTTGCTATAAAATGAAATACGCAAAGACATACAATGAGGCGAGTTAATGAGTGAAACGAGTATATGATTATAACGCGAGTCGTGATGTGTGCACAAACGATTATTATTGCTGCCAATTCCAAATCGTTCTTTACGTATGCGCTATGTGCACAGTAGCAAAAGTTGAGATACGAATTTTCTTGATTGTATTAGTTTGTGGTCATTTTGTTTTCCTCTTCGGTTGTGACGAAGACACCGCTTCTACTATCACACGCGATTTATTAATACTCGAATCAATTCTGATAAATGGCCGCTTATCACGCGGCTTGAGGAAACATTCATTGATTTTATATAAGATTTTGATTTGACGCACGATCTCCAGATATCCTCTATCATTTCCTCCGTCATAAAATGATCAATTTTATGACATTATTCAACGAAGTAGCCAATCAGCAGAAGAAAATGAAATGAATTGTTTATGGGTCGGCACATAAAAGGCTAAATGAAGAGAGAGAGAGAGAAATTCCCTAGACTCCATAGTAAATTGCTGCAGAAAATTGAACGTTTTTGTATCAGTTATTGAGTAAATTAAAGAATTAGACGCTAGATGAGTACATTTCGGTCTTGTTTTCGTTTTATATAAATAACGCAATTGTTCGACTTTGATTATATGGCTTTTTACTCTCAAATCAGACAGGAGTATTATATTGTAAATACTTTTTAAAGTATTTCGGCACCGAATATTAGTCTCGAAGAATTGGATTAATAAACAAAGGGACGATTAGATGGAATATTCGCATGTGTGTTTCGTGACAAAACAATTGCGAACTTTAAATTTTGTTTTCTTTAAACGCAAAAAAAAACAAAATTCATTCGCACTCTAAATAATTCTAAATTTTTCCACCGTATTCCTTGAGCTATTTGTGACTGAAAATTTCCTCACGTCGTTGACCGAAAATTGGCGAACGAAATTCTTGTTTTTGCATAAATAATTTTGGCGCTTTCTGTATTATTGTGTCCAATGTTTATTTTCCTTATTCTCATGTCTGTACTTTGGTCACTTCCTATATGTGCCCAACGATGAAAATGATCAAATAATGTACAGAAATTACAAAGACCATTTGTCGCATCAAACGTGTCGATTTCAATGGAAATTTATAGAAAAAAGAACATGAGCCACAAAACAAACACACAAACGCTGAATGAACGTAATGTTCATAGAAACAAATTAAATTGACCATTGTTTGGCCTCTCTTGTTGCACTAGAAATACAACATGATTGTTTCATCTCGACATTCTGTTACGAAAATAAAACTCGTTTCAATTTGCCCATTGATAGGAAGCGAACAAGTTTCATTTCGGCAAACAATTACATACATTTTGCTATGATATGTTTTTTTAAAATTAAACTCTAGCTGTGCTGTGCCGTGATGTGATGTGCTGTGCTGTGCTATGCGGTGTGTGTGTGGTTTATGTCGATTTGAGATGAAAATCTAACAATAACAATCGATTTTATACCACTATTGTAATTGAAAATTAAAAATAAAATTAGCCGCGACCTTGCCATTTTCGGCTTTATCCCAATGATAAGTGGGCATTATCATTATCAGAGAACCTCACCCAAAAAAAGATAGAACTGTTTCAATATTCCACGTGTATCGATTTTGAGTCTTCATTTGTGTTTGCTGGCATCAAGTGCATTGAAACGGAAAACCTTGTTTTAGCCACACCCTTCGCAACGGATCAAATGCGCTATAAGCAATTGGAATACAAAAAAAAATTCATTCGTTGATCATTCATTCATTTGACAATTCTATATAAAATGTTGCCCGCTCAAGTTCACTGACGCGTCATTCAACAAATTAAATTGCATTGTGTACTTTTCATCCGCCCGCACATCATGCGTGCGTTTGATTCAATCCGATCGATTCTCAATTCCTTTTGGAAATTGTGTGGCATTGTGTTGCGATTGTGACTCGTATGAAGGTGACGCTCGATGCATCTGTTATCGCTTCATATTGATCAGTTTATCCGATTGAAACTCACTTCCACATTAAGTTGCTTCTGGAGAATTTCGCAACTTATCATATTTGCCAGCGCAAACATTTTTCCAGTCGAGAATAATTTAGAGCGCCTGAACGAAGGCGATTTGAGTGGTTTTTTTTTAAATAGAATATTCATGAGTGTGTCACACTGTGGCAGCGATACGCGGCCCGTGTTAGTATATGATGAAGCGTTCTTTCCCGACAAAGCGGTCATACCGGTTGTAAATGAACTCTATTCAATGCAAAAAGGGTTATCTCTGTTTGCTTGGGTATCTTATCGATCCTAGATGTCATTGCTTCTCTTGATGCGTATCGATTGCATACCATAATTTTTTTTTCTCCCTTTTTCTTATCAGATAAATATAACTCCGTTTAAGAGACTGACGTCTATCACACGCATGATTCACACTTTCAATGGTCAACAAGCAAGACGTGTGAATTTATGCATAAAAGTAATGACATTGTTCTATCATTTGTATCACATGATTGATGCCCGTAGCAACTGGTGCACACATATGAAAAATATAGTGAAAAATTGAAAAATTTGCTTGTGAACTTGACGCGTTTCGGCGGTCAAATTGGTGTTAACAACATTTATCGATTCAAACAATACACTCCTTAATTTGGTGCGGAACAGTCACATATTCCGTCGTATTCGACAAATTATGACTTCGTGAACAAATATCACAATTTCAAAATCAACGGTTTCCCATGATACAACCAAATGCTAGGTATCACTTATCGAATTGATATGGAATGAATAAATCAGTAATAATAATGAAATGCGTCAAGAGAACGAATACCAATGAAACAATTTTTCTTCCTGTTTGTTTTTTGCAAACTTTGCTGTTGTAATAAAGATTTGGAGAGCAAAAAATTCATATTATATATGAAACATTGTTTTGGAGCAAATCGTTCATTTTTATTAATAAAACGGTTAATTAAACCAATATAACTGCCTGCCTGCACACTGTGTCAAAGAGTGACGTTGGCCACATGTAAAACGTCAAATCGCCGAGACAACCTTCTGACAGTTCGTACATTTGACAGTTTGGTTTGTTTTGAGAGCACAAGCCAGTCGGTGTATGCACGATTGCACGTGGATATCTGATTAATCAATTGAACTATTCGGCGTGAATGTTTTTATTTACAAAGAATTACGATGTCATCGTTAGCGATACGAGCCTCATCGGTGAAAAATAGTGATGATTCGAAAAAGAGCAGTGAAATTAAATACACAGTGCTAAATTTACCAGCAACTAATGTATTTGCCGCTGAACCAAGTGATTCCGGTATGGTTTCGTACCTGCGTCTTGTGTATTAAACAAAAATTATGAAAATCTCTTTATTATTGAAATTTTGCTGAAAATTGCATAATTTTCCATTTCAGAAGCGAACCACGCATTGCAAGGCTTCAAAAATGAATATTCAAGAGCAAAAGGAGTTGATCAGCAGTTGTCAGCTGTTAATAAAGTAAATTGCCGATGTCGAAACATGACAACTTTTCGAATAACCAAGTGAATGACATTTTGTGTGATTTCAGTTATTGGTCCATTACACCAACACCAATCCATGGATACTGGATGAAAAGATTCTGTCTCAAATTTTGGCTGATTTATACTTTTATGCTCCGCCTAAACATCCGCTTCGCAGTATTCTAGCTAAGTATGTTTTGGTGCACATTCCAACCATTCAGCAGTTAACATTACAATGGCCAATTGAAAAAAAGGAAACTTTGGAAATAATTTGAATCTCCTCTTTCTCACTCTATCAACAGAGCTCTACACAAAGAAGCTGCAAAGAAGGGTGATCTCATCATAGAGTCTATGACACGTACAATCATCGATAGTAATGGTGTAATCCAAGAATCGTTGCAACAAAATAAGTTTGATACGGTTGGGGTTAGGTCATTTGTGTCATCGCTATATGGATGCTTTGACAATTTTCCCGAAGCGGCGGCTGCAATCAAATCATGTTTGTCAATTTTGCTTCAGTCTTTGCAACAATTTATCGATATTTTCATGCAGAAACTGCAAAGTGATTTGTCGCCGGCCCGAAGAAGTGAAGTATTTATCGATTTACACAATACAAGTCGTGTTGTTGTATCAGCAATTCAACAATTTTATGATTCAATCACCGATTCAAGTTTGTTGGAGACAATTCTATCTCAATGTTGGGCAGAATTCCTGGATAATCCTGTGTATGCAGACTCACCAGTGGACACGAAAATAAACTGTGCCATCTTAAAGGTGAACTATGATCGATCATTTGGTGATATTTTTGCACCAAGAGAAAAAATACTCACCCAATTTGTGACGAGCGAAAAGATGTCTTCATTGAAACCCACAACCACACTGTCAAAGGAGATTTACTATGCGATTGCGGTCATAAATACAACCGTGGAAAAAGATTTATCCGACTCGAACTACTTCCCTGCACTCAATGCTATTGTTGATCGATTAATTTCCGTTGGATGCGGAAGTGGATTCACAAAGGATCCTTGCTTGATCATGGCTGTAACTCGCGCACTCGTAGCATGTACCAAGAAATTGTTGTCTCTGTTAAGAAAAGTATCATTGCATCGAGATGATGATGCAGTGAGCTATTTACGCAAAACTGTAGAAGAATGTTTATCCTTTGTTTGGATAAATGTACATCACTCAGTCGATTGTGTTCGTTATTTGTCAAAGGATCTCCTGAAAAATGTTCTAAAATTGGGACAAGAGCAGCCCGAAATCTTTGGCGATGTTGTCAACGAAACAGTTAGCATGGCAAAATCGAATAGCACCAGCGAAACTCTCGTCTGTTTACTGTTGGATTATTTATGTCAAGTGTTTACCACCGAATTCGTTCTCAGTGAAATGCCCAATATCCAACAACGAATCTTGCAGAATTTGTTCAACGACTCGTGTTGGGCTACATGCTATGAGCAATTATTATTGAAGAATTCCGAGATCAATCTGGAGAAATGGTGTTTACGGTGGATTCAGCCGCTGATGCGCGTTGATCCGCGCCAATGGAAGAACGATTTTGATCGTTTGAAAATCATACGAAACCTTTTTGAACGCGCACTGAAAACGAGGCCCGAGGCAGCCGAATATATTCTTACTGATGCAAACATTTCAATCGAAATTCATTTATTCGTTTTATGGATAATGCGACGAAGTGGTCGTAAGATTTACGCGCCGGAAAATTATCGGGTGTCTGCCGATCAGAAAGTCATATTCGCCAAGGTGCATCCCTCAGGTATTTGAGTTCATCTTTGAGGAAATGTTCAATATCTCTTGTAACCTATATCTCTCTCATGATTTCAGACGAAATTCGTATTTTGGCATTTCGAATTTTGATTGAATGTCACAAAGTGTCGGCTTTGTTTCCGGTCGAGGATTTAAATGAAATTTTAGAGTTTTTCCGATTCAATTGTAACGTACAGAATCCAGCGATGCGACAACAGATGAACACAACGATGAAACGAGCTATGAATCGCCTTGAATGCGGCTACTGCACCGCGATACGAGCTCCAACGGAAGAGAATGCCAAATTGTGTACTACTTACGAAACATTTTTACGTGATTTGATCGCTTTTTGTGTGGATTGGTGCTTATTTGACGGTGCAAATTTTGGCCGTCGAACAATAGGTCTTACAACACTTCTATACTCTGTTGAAACTTGGCAGAAAATCCTCCCCGAAAATTCGGCCATTTACACTGAAAAACTATGGATTCGGCTACAAAGAACGTTATCCGATACATATGTCAATAATAAAGATGTGGCCAGCGATATTCTTTTGCTCTGCTGGAAATTCTATCCGGAAAAAAAGAATTTCATATACAGTATGGTGGATCTAAAGAAATTCGTTACAACATTTCGCCCCTACGATGTTATGACATCGTCTCATTATTTGGTGTTTTCGGCATTTAGTGAAACTTACTTCAAGAACTATTACGATGCGGTACTTTGGTGTGAGACAATTTTGGATGATGGGCTGGCTGCAGCAAAGAAATCTCTGTTGCATATGGCAAGATATAATGCACTGTATGGGCTTGTGCTGACCATTCGTCAACTGTTGAAGCGTATTGATTTTTCCAGTATTTCCGACGCCGTTGAAATTGCAAATTGGCGCTCATTCTTCCAAAGAATAATCATAAAATGTAAAGAACTCACCGATGTAGCTGCACCTGTTGTGAATAGCTCTGCGCCAGAAGGCCATCTGCCCAACGATTTAAACGACGTATCACATTATCTTGACATTCCGAATGAAGAGAATGATGGTGGTTCAAAAGTTAAGGTCACAGCTCAGATGATTCTATTGTGTGCGTGGCGAACTGTTCGAGAATCGGCTCTTCTACTTGGCGAAATTTCCCTACGTATTCCAGTTTTAACGGCATCCAATCCAAATGGGCTCGTTTCGGTCGATCAGTTACTACAAATCAGTGGACACTTCCAGCAACTTCTCGTTGAAACCAAGCATCGGGGCGCATTCGAGCAATCGTTTTTGGGTTTCTCAAATTTATGTTTGCGTTTGTGGCGATCACACGAGCCGCAGCTACATTCGTATCCAACAAAATTAGTCGACAAAATTGCGAAGATTATCTCTGGCGAATGTTGTGGCAACGAATCGGATGCAGAGATAGATGTAAAGAAACTGTGTGCTACACGCCGTTCAGCGGGCGTTCCGTTTATGGTGCAAGGAGTTGTTACCACCGAGTCACAAGTGTGTTCATCGAGCGCACTTCATTTTTGTATTACAACGTTTTTGAATATTGCAAAGACGGGTGTCGTACAGGAATCTCGAACACATTCGCTGAACATTTTGAGAGCATTGTTCAAGTGAGTGTTGCCAAACATTTTCTATTTGAAAGACAAACAGATACACGTATATTTCTATCCAACATTCATTTTATTGCAATTTACATTGAAAACGTGTTTGTTTTCACATTCAAAAGGTGCTCTGAGCTGGGTGAAGCCGTGAGTGAATACGCAAGTGATGGCATTGAGTGTTCGATTCGAGGATACAGCGCACCATCATGGCCGGAACGAAATTCATCAACTCTGCTATTTTCAGCGCTTATGATTCGTGTATTTGGCGTTCCTCGCACTAAAGTCTCAGAAAATGTGAGCATCAAAAATAAGATGACTGGACGATTGTTTTTCATTAGGTAATTAAAAGTTCATTATCAGATTGGGAAAATAGAAACAGTATGGCAGTCATTCAATATACTCCCTTTCAATTTTATTTTCCTGCAGATACCCACGATTGTACGATTTCTTCTACGTTGAGCTCAAGTCTGCCAGTGAGGCAATTGAACGTAATGAACGCCCACCACGTTTACATCCACTTTTGCTTCTCATTAGTCGATTGTATCCGTCTGCTCGCGAAGGCACTGAGTCGAATTTAAGGTTGTCTACTTACATTCCATTCATTTCAACGTGCAGCTCTAGTCCAGAATTGGTGACACGTCAGCTTTCGGCCAAATCAATAGTAGCTCTCATTCCTCTAGCAAATATTGCAGAACGATTGTCCATCATTTTGGGAGAAATAAGTGTAAGTTGTAATACATCTTTTCGGATGAAGAAACATGAGCTTATAACTAAAAAATGCGATGTAAATTTCTCAAACCACCAGACACACACCTCGTTGAATACAATTCATGGCTGCCTGCTTCAAGTATTGTATCTGATACGCTCAACAAAACAAGAAAACTATGAAATCGATACAAAAACCTTGAAGGAATTCACAATTAAATTGGTCCATTTAAAGTTGCCGGTGAATAATATCATTGCAAAAACCTATTTGGAAATACTTTTGGAGATTCTACTGACGTAAGTTGAATCCAATGTAATGAAAAATGTCCTGGCATATATACTTTTATAGTGTGAAAATGTTTGCTTTTTTTTGTAGTGACCGATTCTATCCAATTGACCCAGAATTGGCAAATCGATTAATTGAAGTACGCGATAAATTTGTCAAAAACTTTGCACAGAGCAATCAATATGATAAATTGACACAGTCTTATGTACAAAAGTCATTTACTATATTCAATTTATTGCTATCGGCCAATGTGAAAGATGAAATGCCAATCATTTCCACTTCGGTGTTAAATACACAAAATGAATTAATCGAAACCCAATTGAACATCAAGTATCTCTTCCTATGTCGGCCAAATCAGGAAATAATCGAATCCACCAATGATTTTTCTCGTTATGAAATTGAACTATTTAAATTTTTCACAAGAAACCACACGAATAATGGAATTATTCTACGATTGCTGCTTTCAACTAAGGATTTGTACCATGTAATTGAGCATAAGAGAGAATTTTATCCGTTTGGAGTGATCAAAGCGTACGAAATTTTAAGTTTATTGATTGCGCCAGCTGAGGCATTTACAAATAATCTTGATTTGAGACGACTGCAAATGGGCCAGTTAATGGAACATATGAACGCGATTGACAAAGAAGGAGTTGATGATGTAGAGGAGTCGATGTGGAAATTCATAACGGCACATCTACGTCACTGCCAAATCCACCCATCGCATGTTATCACTGGGCAAATCCAAGAGATAGTTGCGCACTTGCGGAATTCAACGCAATCGTATAAGTCACTCAGTTTGAGGCAGACTATTACGGACGTTCTTGCCATAATAATTCAATATTTTGCACAATGCACCAACTTAGAGGTGATAATTGACGTTGCCGAACTTTTATTGAGTTTGTTACGCGATGATGATTTGTACGTTCGAAATCGTACGTCTGAAATTGTAATGGATTTAATTCATCACGAGTCCAAGGAGTCCTTTGATAAAGGTAATTTCTTCCCATAAAGGTCTTTGCCATAAATGATAATTGATTAATGTTCCTTTTTTTAATTCAATTAGTTATTCCATTGGCTGCTGAGGATCACTTATTGCAATGGCTTGACTCGAAATTTGTACAGATCGCTCGAAATGACGTGTGGTCAAAATGGTTGGACCTTCTTCGACTAGTCTTTGCTCCGCTGGGAAAAAAGCAGGAAGACAGTGCTAATGATGACAACAATGAAGATAATTTGATTGATGTAGAAATTTTCGATGATTCAGAACCCAACACTTTCGACGAGGCCATATACAGCAGCCACAAATGCTACACATACATGGTTAAACACATTAATAGCGTACAAATGAATCCAGACCAAAAACTGGCAATTCTTTCAGAATTCTCACCTCTTCAAAATCTGTAGAAGAAATAAAAAGAAAACTCGCATAGTTAATGAAGAATTTGTTAAAATTGATTTATTGTTGTTCTTTGATGGAGTATTCAGTTCGATTCGGAAGTGAATGAACGACATTTGAAATAAATAAAATTTTATATTTGATTGAAATTTGTCACTTGAATGTTTTCATTGTTTTATTTTATTAAATACATTTTAGAGATCGTTTTTAACCAATAACAACGTCAATAGGTACATTTTTGTTTAAAGTAAGTGCTTCCGTTTTTTTTAAATTATTAATTCATTTTGTTAATTCGATAACTTGTTTTCTTTGTGATCTGTGGAATCGAAGCTATTTCCTTCATATTTACTCCAAAAGTTTTGAACAAATTTTTTTATTTCCTTATTCATTCCAATTTCGTTTGGCTTCGATATCCTAACAACCATTAAACTTATAAAGTGTTTCTCAAACAATTGTAGCTTCAATGATTGCACGAACGTTGTTAGATTTAACTTATTCGGTTATTGCGATCGTTTGTGTGTGTGTGTGATTGAAGAACATCGATACAGCGTGCACATCGAAAAATGAAGAAATGGGATTTACAAATCGATGAAATGAGGTTTACACACATACGCCTATATAAATATCTACAAATAAAAAAATCATTTAAAAAAACATCCGTTCTGGTGGGTGGTTATTAGCGTTGTAAATTGTAAAAATCGGTCGGACTGATTATGTAGGTATTCCCAGGGAATAAATCCCTCTATAAAACGTAAAAGTTCTAAAAAAAAAATCCGGAGGAACGACACAAATCAAATCCATTTTCGTAATTTCGACTTTGTAATTGCTTAAATCGCTATTTACTTGATGTCTTTTATTTTGGATGGAATTCCATGAATTAAACATTACTGATTATGATCAACGATGGCAATAGATTGTGTATGTGTGTGTATTCTTGGTGGCACAACACCATTGAAAAAACAATTGATTAAAAAACGTAATGGTGACCATTAGTCTCTCTAATAAACTTGATTCATTTTTGGTTGGTGCATTGCAAAATTATTGATTTTTTTACCATTACAATAGGCCAAATAGGTAAGTGATTTCAACTAATGAGCTACTACATTTATGCAGGACAGTTCTCAATAGAGAACTAGAGTTTCCCACTTGATCGTTATCATAATAATAATAATCGTTATCATCGTTAAAACAATGTCGATTTGATTTGATTCAATTTCATTCAAAAAGATATTGTTCATGGGAAAAATGTCTCCCGTCACAAGTGATGTATACGATTTTTTTTACGGGTTGGTCATAAGTTTGAATGTGACATTTTTTAGTATTTTATCAATGATTAAATATATCGATTGGGATCAGAAAAAAGGAGATCAATATTATGTATATTTTCTAAATATGTCTTAAGTATATTGCTTGCCATGGCTTTTATTTTTCTAACCATCCCATGACCAAACTGTTTCAAATACGTTTAGGTTTCTTAATAGAACATATTTGATTGGAAAGCTTGATAGCAATCATCAGAGGCATAAAGGCAAAACAAATAGGTTTCTTTTTTATTCTCATTTTAACAAAGCAATATTTGGAATTCGTTCAAAATCACTTTTGAACTCCAAAATTAAAGTCGTAAATATTAAAATAGTCGAATTCAGTGCATTTAGCCATAAATACGATTACAAACAATTTGAGATAAAACAAAAATGTTCACTAATTCAGCGTTTGTTTCAAACGGATTTTCTCCTAAGGAAAGCGAGAGAGGGAAAAACTGAATTTCTCTAAATCACTTGCACAGTATTTTCTTTCTTATTAGGGGAAAAGTGATAGTTTGGTTTAATTAATATTAATTAACTTGCATTTCATTTATCTATTACAGTTATTGAATAATAATAATTCGGCTAAATATTGAATGTTTTGAGTGTTTACGCTAATATAGTGAAATTTGTTCCAAAAAAATTTCATAGAGCAATACATCAAGTTCAAACAAAAGATGTACGATTTCTTCTACAGCATTTACAATGTCAGTCGCTCGATGTCAAACGTTTAAAACCAAACAAAAATAAGGTAAATTGTGAGCATATAGTTTTAATTTATGTAAGTTGCAGATTAATGCTATTCGTAATGTGGGTGATTTTGGGTGACTAGTTTAATAGAATTTTAAGTAAATCGATTTTAACGTTGAAGTCTTTGAGGCAATTGAACGGTAGTCGTTTTGTTTGAGCGTTGATAGACTGGCGACTGTGAACCCTGTAAAATCGATAAGTTTCATAAATTAAAGGTAAAATCTTTTGAATATTGTGAAATTCAACGATTAAAATGAAAACATACGCCTGAATCGAAGCTGCTTTTCATCGTTTTACCATTATCCTGTGACTCAAGACCGATTGATTGTTGTCTCCAAGCTTCGGCTGATGATTGTGGCTCTTGTTCATGAGGTTCAACGGCCTGATTTCTGTTTGAATTGATTTTAAAAATATAGAAAATGCTCCCATACAAATTACTAAAGCAAAACAAAACGAAAAGTGTTCGCTGAGTTTTACCTATTCAAATTTTCTTCAATGTCAGGGTCTGATTCAATTAATGGAACACAGTCATCTGGTGATTGGTCTTCAGTCAATGATTCTTTTTTCTCACTATCCGTGTTGTTGCTGCCTGCGTCCCGTTCGTTACCATGGCATTCGCATTGGCATTCGTCTGGATTCACATAATTATAATGTACGTGATGCGACGATTCACCCATCATCGAATCCTTATGCGGTAAAGTAGTTATGCGTTTAGCTGGTTTCCGTTTCTCCGGAATGTTTTCGAAATCGATCCACTCGTTTGTCGCCTTTGGAGTTTTACGTGACGCTGAGTCATCAACGATATCTTTAGCCTGTGAGTTAGATGGACTACTCAATGTGCCTCCGATGCCTTGCTCCGCAAATTCAAACCAACTCTTTCCACTCGAATTTGATACGCGGCGTGGTGATTTTGATCTGGAACCACTTGAACTGACCTCTCTAACATCTCTTCGTGGTAGGCTAATACGAAGCTTTTCACCTCGTTGAAAATCTATGTCATCGGTTAGTGCCGCTGCTCCGCAGTATTCTTGTAAGCATGATATATTTAGGGGAGTCGTCGAACGAGGTCGCTCTAACGGGCATGTTTTAACATCCATCAAAGCGCGTTCACGAACTGGTATTATGGAAATACCCAAAGTTCGCTCTTCAGGCAAAGTCGTTGGAACATAGGGCAATTCGGAATCGTCATACGACTCTTGACTGACTAAGCCCGCACTTTCCTCTTCAACTGCACCAATTTGTCGCGGTATTCGATGCTGTAAAAGAAAGTGTTTGAAAATTATTATTGACGTTCGAGGGGAATTGCATAGCAAGATGTTGTTTTATACTTTTGGATCTATTTCTGAATCTTGTTCGCTGCCTGATGACCCGCCGGCAGTGGCGGATCGACGATCTTCAGTTGAATCTCTGCTTCTCGGCGAACCCAATTTGCTGGCTCGTTCCGGTTTCACCGGCTTCACGACACTCTGTTTATGCGGTTCGGCTGCACTCTCCACAGATTGTTGTTGCTCTTTTACTATTGAATTCTTTCTCTCTGTTTCGATTCTTCGCTGAGTTTCCATGATCTCTTCGATATTTTCAATGTACATCGAATGTCGATTCACGTTAATCACTTCTTGTTTCACAGCATGCACTTCCGTATCTCTAACCCTATCTCTGTCTCTGTCCTCCTTTGATCGCATTCGCACAACTGGCTCACTATGCTCTGGTATTGGCTCTGGCTTTTGTTCATCGCGCACCACCGTTTCGCTCTTTTCAGCTGATGGGCTTTCTAAGCTCAGATTCGGCACTTGTTCGGATAATTGGCTTGAAAGACTTTCCGTTTTCGACAAGCTCAGCTGCGTCGCAAATATTTGCTCTTCACTACCTGATCCAATTTTTGTACTAAATAGAATTCGTTTGCGCTCCTTGGACATCGCACGAATGCCACCGTTTGCGCTTTCAATCGATACAATTATGGTTTCTTCTTGTGAAATCTGCTTTGCGGGCGCTTTGGACTTTTGTTCGACCGCAGATGTGATAGGTGGCGTTTGAGCTGCAACAACCGCTGAAATGGTCACCGGTGATTTATTTGCTTGTGTTTCGCCGCCACTAACAAGCGAAGCTGCTTTGGATGAAATAACTGTATCTTGACTCTCTTGCGAACTATTTCGTTGCACAGCTGTGCTCCATAATTGGCTATTATTATCTCCTTCATCAATTTCATTTCGTTCGTCAGATGGAGATCGCAATGGAATGCGCACACTTCCATCCGGCAATTCGATTCGATAAGATTTCTTAATTTTTGGTTGTGCCGTCGCCGTTGGTGTAGTCGATGTGCTAACAACAGACTTTGTGATCGGTTGTTTAGTTTGTTTTCGTTCCGAGACTGGAGTTTTAGGCTTAGGTGGCGTTGGTACTGGTGCCACTTCAATAACATCAGCATCAACATGCATAGTTGCAGTCGATTTGGCAACTGCAGCAGCAGCCGCTTGTTGCGCTAATGTTGCGATAGACGATGCAAAAGTGACATTTTCTTTTTCATCGGGAGGCGTGTGTAGCGGAATGCGTACGCCTTCATGTGGATCGCCTTTAGGTTGATCGTAGTACAATAATCTAGGCGTTGTGCTGCCCGGTCTTTGCTGGAATTCCTCTTGCTTATGCGTTTGTTTTCGGCTGTGATGCTCTTGTTTAGTGGACATAATTTCATTCATCTCAGGATCAATGGGAGACGAAGACTTTGAGGAATTTTTACGTGGCTTAAATATGGCCAAAATCGATCGTTGTTTACTCGGTGTACTATTCGCCGATACACCGCCACCGCCACCGCTTTTCTCACTTTCTCTACTTTTACTACGCGACCGATCACGTGGGCTATCTAAAAGTATCGAAATGGCGCTCTTCTTTCGCTGACCACTTGGTGAGTCGGGGCTCGCCGTATCTTTCGCTTTGAACAGCGAACAGAATGAACTTTTGCGGGAAATACTAATTCCCGTTGTAGCGGGCGATGGAGAACGGCTGCCGGCATTCTTCAGTGCACTGCGTGATGGTTTTGGTGATGCAGTCGGTGTCAAGTGATGATCTGTTTGCTTTGAACCACCGTCATGTACCAGTTGTGTGAAATGTGGCGCAGCTTTTTTAGTTGTCGATTTTTTTAGACTCAGCGAAACGGGTTTGGACACCTCACTTTCCTCCACCACACGCTCATTTGACGATATTCCTTTGTCATCATACAATTCGTCTGGTTTTAACTTGATTCTGATATACTGTTCACGCGAAAGAGATAAAACAAAACCATAAAGAGATTATCGATGCGAGAAAAAAAATTATCCACACAATGAGTCTTATGTTACCTGTGTTCCTTGTGGCGTAACGCCAACAATTGTACAATTGTTCTTTTTGAGCACGCCACCTTTTCTCACTGGATTATTGCCACGTGATGCGCTCACCGTATTTTTATCGGTTACAATTTGCGTTCGCTTAACGGTTCTTTCGGGCTCATCTTTAATATTTCCATTCGCCTCGCTCTTCGGTTCACTTTTCGTTTTCTTCGGAGTCGATAAATCGATATTGATTCCTTCAGCCAAAACGGCTTTTGTAACATCATGTTTTCTAGCCAAAATGATTTGTTCCAATTCATCGGTTGTTATTGTGTCGCCAATTGCTGAGGCTGCTGCAGCGTCGGCGCCTAGCGGCTTTGGTCCACAGAATGATGTCTCCAAAAGCATTTTGTGTGGCGAAGGCGATCTCGATACACCCGACACAGCCGACAATCGGCTCACAGCTGATCCTTGACTGCCAACACTTGATATTCGACTCGTTCGTCCCGATATACACAATAATGCGGCCACTTCGGAGCTTACCGAGTCTTTTCGTGCATTCTGTTGCAAGCAAGCCTGTTGTTTTTCCTCGAATCGATACAGTGTGGGCGACGAACGTGCCTGCGAATTTAAACAAAAAATTCGATCAATAATTTAGATGTTTTTTTTTTTCTCAACATTTACGCTAGTTATTCGATTTCTTACGGGCTGCGCCGAACTCGACTGCCATCCACTTTCTCGCTCCGATTTTTCTTTAGTTTTTTCATTATCTTCAACAAAGTACAACTCTTCTGTGGATCTTCTCAAATCGTTAGTACCATCTTCACCAAAGCCCAGATCAGTTTCGTTGCCTTCTTGCAAAGTGCCAGTGCCGATCTGTTCAAATACATTTTCAGGGCTACTATCTCGACTGTCTTCATGCTGCGATGAGCTCGACGCACGGCTTATATCAATACGAGGCGTTTGTGAAACACGTAACACATTTCGCGATTGTGCTTGTTCGGTCATTGTAGACGTGGTCGCAGATTCATTCGTTGTTTTTCTATTCGACGTTTGTTCAACGATATGGGTCAGTTGCGAATCCGTTTTATTCAAATCCATCTGCGAAACGAAAAATATACATGTTAGATATTTTATTTTTGCTATTGAACATTAAACTACTTCTAGTAGTGCGCAAGAAAGAGAGAGAGAGAGAGAGAGAACGACAAAAAAGACATAATAAATTGCAATCTACACTTATTGCAATGTGGTGAAAAGAGCAATTGTTCAGTTGACACTTAAACGGAACACTGTGAAATATAAATGACATTCGGTATGACAAACAATGCAAGAACGAATAAGTGGGTCGTTTCAACGACAGTACACTTTACACATATTCAAAAGCTTTGGATTGGCCGTGTTTGCGAGTGCAATTTATAGTTACATGTTGAAAATAAATTGTATGGTAACCCAAACCCGAAAAAAAGAAGAAGAAATATCTCGACCAGTTGACATTATTTTCTTGTTGGAATTTTTCTTCATTCGTCCGTATGCTTCATGTAAAACCTCATTCCATGTGCAGCATCAGCCTCGGCAGCAGACGCAACCGCAATTTAATTGAACCGATTCGAAAGGATTTCCCACACAGTGTTTTCAAATGTCTGTATTTCAACTGTGTGCTATTATTTAATTAGGTCTTGAGTCCTAAGTCAGAGATTTATTTCAAATATTAACTATGTTTCGCTTTTACAATTCAAAACTCATCACACTTCTCTAAAAAAAAATACACACCTTTTTTTACGCACAACAACAACGACACAGATACTACACTTTGTTGGCACGCGAGTCCTTAATTTGTAATCACATTTGAAAATGTTTTATTTCCTCTGCATCACACTCCGTGCATTTGTGAATCGAAAATCCGTCTCAAATTAAATTAACTCCGATTATTTGATTCATTGTGATTCGATAATTTAAGTTTCACTTCATTTGGCCAAAACACGAGCGTGATGTGCGAAAAAAAAAATTTTGTTGTAAAAAAGACACACGGAACACAAGTAAAATTCGCCAACACATACACACATACAGACAGACGTTCACGCATCGAATGCTTTTCTACGACAAATGAAATATAGATGGATGTGGAAGAGAGAGAGAGAGAGAGAGAGAAAGAAAATCGAGACCTGCGAATGTGCGCGCTATGACTTTGCTTTTGCTACTACTTTGAATTATATACACAATACGACAAGTGCTAGGGAACAAGCATTGCTCCGGTCCGGAATCGGCGCTTTCCATTTTCCCCGTCGGCCGCGGATTTCCAAATATGTAATATTACATTGTTGCATACGAAACCGCATAGTCTTTGAAGCAGCCAAAGCAGCAGCATGTGCACCCCATGCTCACTTACTATGTGCGTGTGTGTGTGTGTATGTGTATATATTTACTGGAAGCTTCTTCATTGGAAATGGAAAATGTGCACATAAGCGACAGTCTCACACAAAAAAGCGAACAGTCGAATCAATAACCTGTGACATAAGATAAAGCGTACTGTTTTGCATTAAAATAGAGACCAACAATCCGTGCGATGGCATTAACACAACAAATATATGTATAGCATATTGCTTTGTGTATTACTACATAGTGAACGAGCGTTGTGTACATTCGTAAAATTATAATTTTTTGATTTGTGCACATGTTTCTGAATATGGAGTGTGTTTATTGCTCATTCGCATAAAAAAGGCGATTGTATACTTCCGAAAATCGATTTTGACTGGATGTGTGTGCTTTTTTTGTTCTTCACTTCGTTGATGTTTGTTCATTCTATAGTTTCGTTTGAGTGAAGGAGCTTTGCGGTGGTGTATATTTACATGGATCGTCCACTTCAAGGACATTTACCTTAAATTTAAGCTCATCGGATGAAGTTTCAGTATCCTCAAACGATGCGATTGGAGCTGGACCAAGCTGTTTTTGTTTCCTTGGTGAACTCGATTTGGATTTGGATTTGTCCATTGTGTTGTTGGTTCGGAATTCAACTTAGTCAAATTTGTGGTCACGAAATGTGGCCGTCTATTTTAAATGCGTGCGGGCCACGTGTCGAGGCTCATCCCACTTTCAAACCTTTCAAGCTAATTTGCGAAGTTTTTCCTTTAATGATCGTTATTAATTATAGCACTGTTTCAGATTGCACATATTCTCCTACATAATACACATACACAGTATTACACACCCTTTTCGTAATTATACCTCGTGTGTTTCTCTGGCGTTTTCATTTACGGTAGTATTTCGGTTCTCAGCCCACAATCCGGGCCCACCCATGTACTTATTCTGGAAATCGCAAGTCAATTTACATAGAAAACGGAATTCAATTGATTATATCAATAATTCAGAACCGGTGCTCGTTCCAACGACAGTGAATTTGAATTTATAATGAAGCGAAAATGTCTATGCATTGTCGATGTGAATTTCGACGAAAATAATTTCCGAATTTTCGAATGAGTCAAGCAACAAAACCGTATTGAAATCAAACTTTTCAACCACACTCGCTTGGATGTAGTTTATCTAGTTCATTTTCGTTTCCAATATACGGCATCAAAAATGCCAAAAATCAACCCACTCAAGTGTAAATAAATTGAGTAGCGGCGCCAGCACTGTAACCAAAATTGTATAAGGCCGCCGCAGTGGATGAAACCAATCGATGGATAGATTTTTGCACCACCCGTTTGATTTTGAAGACTGAGTCGATTAGTTAATCAGTTTTTTTTTTCGGAAATTCCTTGTTGTTGATACTATGGTCGAAAGGCTCCGTTCAATTTCGCTTTGATCGATAAATCGTTAGTGCACAGCGAGAAAACGGATTACGTAAATTAGTTTTAGTGTTTCGTTTTGTAATCAATGATCGTTTCGTCTGTTAATTAACTGCATGTTTTCCATTCATCTATTCCAATCAATACAGAATGCAAGTTCATAATAATGCATTACGCTCGACTATAAAAGAGAAAAAAATCAGTACAATTTCATTAACTCCCCCATTGATTGCAACCGATTGCAACTTATCAAGGCTTTTTTTTATGGCAGAAAATTTTTTTTTTTTGCGAAACTAATTAAAGGGAATCCAATAAACTATAACAATGGAGAACACAGAATATACGTATGTTAACACGATAGCGCCAACCACTGGAAACTTACACAACAAGCACAAATGAATTCACTGAAACTAAAGCGATTTATTCAGCTTTCTTCATTCTCTGTCGATGGGTTCTCTTTTCCCTGATTATCGATATACATTTATGGGTCACCGAACTCCAATCCTTTCCGATGCGAAATACAGTGACGGATTCAATTTTTTTTCTCACTACATTCGTGATTGACTGACTGTTAAATGCACGAGAACGAAAGAGAGCGAGAGAATGTAAGCTCGTCTAACAACGGGCAGACATCCATCGATTCTATTATTGCGACGGTCAATCGAGTCTCATTCATTCACCAGTTTGTATTCTTTTTCACTTTGTGTTTATTTCATTCGAAACGAAGGATTTCCTTTTGCTCTAAAAACACTATTCATTTAAATTTACAAAACTTATCGTATTCTATCTAATGCATGTTGAGCTTATATGCGTCTCGTTGCTCTCTGTATACGAAACTGTTTTGTTATGCTCAGCACTCGAACCGATGTTGGCCAGCCAGTGAAAAGTCGAGAGGAATAAACGATAAAATCAGGGGAAAATCTTGTGGAGTGGATTGAGCATGATCCGGACAAATTTCCAGTCATGCATAATTTTGCCATTCATTTCTCCATTCGGAAAATAAACTTGAAGAATTTGAAATTTGTTTATTTTTTTAATATTGAAGTTTTTTTTATTTTATTTTATTGTTTAATCTTTTCAATTAGTTTCTAGAATAGAATAAGCGAAAATTTCCAATGCAAATGCGATGTACAGTTATCCCTATTGGAAAAATATGTGTGCATTTCACACAATCCAAACATGAATCAGCGCCTAACTTCACGTCGATAGACGTTCTTACAACGAATGACATTTGTAGGCTCACAGGCATTTATACCAAGTCATTCTTGTCATACAACAATTATATGTACAGGAACACCGCTTGTGAGAATTTTGTTATTTTTTGCATAGAACAATAAATAAATTTGATCGGGGAAAACTTTAAATTAAATTTGAGTAGATTTTTTCATCAGAAACATTCATCAGAATGGCATCCGAACGTTATAGCTTCTCTTTGACTACATTCAGGTAAACAACGAACATTTAACCTAACTTATAGGCGTTATGACTTGCTTAATTTCTAATTTGGGTTTTATCTTTTTTCGCTCTCTCTTCTGTTTCAATTTCATGCAATGAATTTAGTCCATCGGGTAAATTGGTGCAGATCGAGTATGCATTGGCTGCAGTTTCGGCCGGAGCACCGGCTGTCGGAATTTTAGCGTCTAATGGTCTCGTTATTGCCACCGAACATAAACACAAATCCATTCTGTACGACGAAAGTAGTGTGCACAAGGTAGAAGTCATTACCGATCACATCGGAATGGTTTATTCCGGAATGGGACCAGACTACCGTTTGCTGGTCAAAGAAGCACGTCGTTTGGCTCAAAACTACTATCTCACTTATCGTGAACCGATACCGGTGTCGCAGCTTGTGCAACGTGTTGCAACTTTGATGCAAGAATACACGCAATCCGGTGGCGTACGTCCATTTGGTGTGTCATTGTTGATCGCTGGTTGGGACATAGATCGTCCATACTTGTTCCAGTGTGATCCGTCGGGCGCTTATTTTGCATGGAAAGCAACGGCAATGGGCAAGAATGCGATCAATGGCAAAACATTCTTGGAGAAACGTTACAACAAAGATTTGGAACTCGATGACGCTATTCACACGGCTATTCTAACATTGAAGGAGGGCTTCGAAGGTCAAATCACTGCCGATAATATCGAAGTGGGCATTTGTGATCAGAGTGGGTTCAAACGACTGGATTCATCGACTGTGAAAGACTATCTCGCAAATATTCCATAAGAGGCCCATGGCTAGAGAGCCTGGTGACAGCCTTTCAGAGCTACTCTTTTTTTCTTAATTAATGGTTCATTGATTTGTATTACTGAAAAAGCGAAATAAATAAATGAAGAAAAAATTAAAAAACTTTTCGAAAATGGTCAAATAATCTAATTGTTTGTTTTTATTGCTACGGTTTTTCAGTTCATGCAACAATTACATTTTCCTACAACAATGATGTATTTGACAAAAAGCAAAATCTTGATCATTTAAATCGTTCTCCGCTATGCTACATGAGTATTGGGAAATTGTATGTTAAACAACGATAAAAATGAATGTTACTTGAAATCAAAACGCGCGTTTAATCTGCATCTATGATTATTATTATTGTTGTTGTTTAAAGTACTAGAATTATTATTCGTTTAATCGGTGTATTGATGATTGTATCAACATCAATTTAATTTACATTGATTTAGATCATAATATTATTTTCCAATTGAAAATAAGTGGTTTTCTTTTTATATACATTGAACATGCAATTTCGTTCAAGCAAATAAACCGTGGATACACCATGATTATTCGTTTATTTAGTTCAAATGCTTTCAAAAATGATGATTCTGAAAGAATGTTGTCGTAGTTTTGACAGAACGCATATACTTCGTTCACAAAATGTTCAATTTAGCTGTCACCGGTAGCTGAATTGGGCGGTTTTATTGATTGGTTGCCAGTGATTTGTGAATCTGAAATGAAATGAAATCATGACATCAAATTAATGAAATTCTTTGGCGCAATCTCTGGCGAAGCGTCAGACACTTACTTATGTTCGATTGAATTTGTGTAGTTTGCTGTATCGGAATCATCTTGAGACCTTGTAATGATTTCAAATTGATTGTACCACCTTGGAAATTTTGCGGCAATATGAATTGACTTCCACCTTGTACGGCCAGAACCACCCTTTGGCCAGGTGCCGCTCCTTTGATGATATTCTGAAATCGAAACAAATACCTTTAGCTAACAGAGAAAAAAACAATAACAATGGAATGCGTCGAAATCGAATTTCGAAATATACCTTAAACGTTGGTTTGTCGCCGGCGGTTGTCGTCATCATGGTTGGTGCATGTACTTTAATTGCTTGACCAGTTGAACCGAGCACAACGGTTTGACCGGTTCTTGATCCCGTCACAACATTCGATACACTGGCTGTCGCAGTGGTTCCTGTGCTATTCGCCGAATTGGCATTCAAATTTATAACAGACATCGTTGGTGTTGACGAATTGCCCGATTGTACCGAAGCGATGGACTGTTGTGGTTGAATCTTCACAATTTGATTGCCAAACATAACTTGTGAACCTTGAATTTGGCTACCAGCCGGTAGGGTACTTATGATATTAGCCTTTCCGACATTATTACCTTGCTGCGTCCATAGTGATGACTTTGAGATTTGGCCAGGCGACTGAATCATTTGCGTTGGTGCTTTTGCAATTATGATCGATTTCCCATCAATATTGGCTATGTTCAAATTTGAAGCGTTCACCATTCGAATACTACCCGCCTTAACTCGTTGATTGAGCTGTGTGGCTGGTGATATTCCCTGGAAACCTTGTACACCCAGAACCTTTGCATTGATCAGCTGCTGCGCTGTGATTGGCTGCAATTGGGCCGATTGCACAATTTTTGGTGTGACCGCACCCGATTGTTGGCTTTGGATTATTGTTGGATGCGAAATCATTGTGTTTTTTCCACTGATTTTCACGATTTCAGGTTTTGAGGCACTTGAACTTACATTCGATAAGCCTGACACACCAGATGATGTCTTCACTCCACTCACCGAAACGACTTGGCCACTTATTGTCGATGCATTTGTATTGGCCGCCGGTGTTGTCACCAAACGTGGCTGGGGAACTGAAAGTATATAATCAAATATTATTTAGAGAAAATGCAAAAAAAAACAATATTTTCATAAAAATAAGTATAGATAATAGATTCTTACTTGAAACGACGGCATATTGTGTCATTTGAGAGCCCGGCGTTCCAGTCAATTGGATAAGATTTGTGGTTTGCCCGGGTTTTGCAGTGGCTATACGTACTGACGACATATTCACTTTGTTCTGTTGCACGAGATTTTCCAAAGATATAAATTGATCGGTAATCATTTTGCCAATCAATGGACTGTTAGCGGAAATGGTGCGAACACTAGTTACCGGACTGGTCGTTGATGACGTTTGAATGAGACTTGTGGTTGATTTAACAGCCGCTCTAGAAATGATTGGCTGAGTATTGCTGGCCGATGCCGTCGATACCAACTGAATCTGGGCGTCAATCAACGAGGAGCTCGTTTGAACGGGAGCCAGTTGGATTTGCTTTTGAATTTGTGTCAGAACTTGCTGCGGTTTAATGATCAAATTTTGTTGACCGGTACCACTTTGCTGGATGCCTTGCACACGGATTTGTTTGTTGATTGATTGAAGCAAACTCTGTTGCTGCATTGGAGAGAGATTTGCGGTGGATATTGTTTGTACTTTTGCTGTTGTCGGTGCTTTATCTTGATTTGTCTGATGAATTTGAATGATTTGCGGATTGATGAGACTCGTACCGGGCGGTGTTGTTGTCGTTCCGATCGTATTAACATTACAGATAGATGGAGAACTGGTAACCATTACATTGCTGGTGGGAGTGCCAGTTTTCGAAACCGCAATAAGCTTCTGGACCATAATTGGTGACGATGTACCGACAATTGTTGCTTTCTGATTGCCGCCAATCACATTTGCTCCGCTCGGCGAAACAATGATATTTTGCTGTGACAATGATTTGGCTTGAATGATTTGCATAGTGGTTTGCTGCTGCCGATTTGCCGCAACCACCGATGGATTTATCAAACTCTTTCCAGCCGGAACGGTATTGGCAGCCGTGCGTATGATTGTTTTGTTGCCGCTAACGGTCACAATTTGTGGCAACGAAGTGCGTTGTAGACTATTCGAAGTGGCCGAAATTGGTACTGTTGACGTTTTGATGGTTTTCGGTGAGATGGATTTCGTGGTGGTTTGGGCAACAACCGGTTGAAACGTTTTGTTAACATTGGCAACACTTTTTCCAATGCTTATCGGTATAACGTAGCTGTGATTGGACGGTGACTGTGCAGCAACCAAGGGCGGAAGAGCTTTTGTATGCTGTGAACGACGCATTTGATTCGCCGTCAAGATCGATTGATTACCGCCGGTGGTTTGCAACAGAGCGTTTTGACCCTGTTGCGATTTAATGAGTGTGTGACCGGGTGAAACGTGAACGGTTTGAATGCCACCAGCAGTTGAAACTTTTATTTGAGCGGCTGAGCTAGGAGCTGCAGAAACAATGCCAATGGTTGGTTTGCCAATGATTTTCGTGTTGATCTTTTGATTTTTATCTATTATAATCCCTGTAATTTGCGCTTGTTGGTTTTGTACTGTCGGCGATTTGCTTATTATGATCGGTGCATTTTCTAGAGTCGTTTCAATGTCCATCGCTTCAACTTTGGCTTCATTCATCTGCTGAATCGGCACCAATTCCGGTTTGATGATCGTTTTCTTTTGCGTCGTTATAACTTTGTTAATCAACGGCGGTGGATTTGTGGTGAGCGTAGGTGAATTGATGGAACTGAGAGCAGGAACTGGAAGCGAACTCATCGATGAGATAATTACAGGTGGTTGTGTTAGTTTTACTGTTGCCGGAATTGTTGGCTGAGCATTTGTTGGTGCGTGATGCGTTGCGCCAGATATTGCAACAATTCCTTGAGCCGGTATCGTTTTGATGGTGACCTTTTTCTTTGGCGTCGTCCCAATCGGAATCGCGGCATTCGACAAAGGAGCAGATGGTGAATTAATCAATAATTCAGAACACTCGGCTGGCGGGTTATTCTCCGCTAGATTTGAGTCGGGCGTTTTTGGCGTGGAATTCTTCACTTTTGACTTGCGTGTATTCTGTTTCTTGTGCTTGCTGAGACCTTGGAATTGTTGGTGCATAATCTCGAACTCTTCTTCCGTTCGATTTCGATGCAAATAAATCCAGATTTTTCGCTTCGAGTCATACCGCACACATGGATCATTTTCCGTGTGCATCCGATCAAGTGCCCCGCTGACAATCGTTTGCAGCACCGTTTCAGACGCTGACGGGCAAAGGTATTGAGATGATTTGAGCAGTTCACAAATATCGGCTCGTGTGCCTTCACCATTCGGAAGTCTTGCCGTTGCATCACGTACCAATGTTAAAATTGTCACAAAACTAGGGCGATCAGTCGTAAGCATAGTGTGACCACGTGCTTTGGTCATTGCTGGAATTTGTGTATAAATACCCTTTACTGGACCAACAACACTTTCAAAGCCATGCATACGGTATGTAAATGCTCTGTCGGGGTGCTCAAAACGTCTGCGTTCTTGTTCACGAAACTCGAGGATTTCTTCGGCCGATGCTTTCTGTACAATCCAGTTCGTTGGACAACGCGGAAGCGGTGGTGGTGAAACTGCTCTGTCTGAAGCATTTGCACGAGTTTCTTCGATTGAAACGATATTGTTTGGCTTGCTTCGAAATATCTCCGTTTCCACCTTCGAATGTGGTTTTATACCCATTTCATTGCGTCGTGTGAGCCAATATTCGCACAGCTGTTTCAAATGCTGATCCCGGTCCCGGCCAGCCCCGATCCATTGGTAGATGTTCAAATTTGACTTGTATTCAATGTATGGAACAAAATCATCCGGTTGATCGACAAACTCTCCCGCGAGAAAGTAAACGGCCGACTGCAGCAAATCTAACCAGCTGTCCGCTAGGCCATACCTTTAGAAAAACAGACAAAAAAAAATTACAAAAGTAATATAAAAATGAGCAAATCCATTGAAAATTACCAGTCATTTAGCGCTGTTATTGGATTGGCCACCCAAGCCGAGATCTTTCCATGTAAACTTTCCAATGTGATTCGATGGTCAGGTGTTGAGCAAAATATGTCTCGAATGAGCGATAAGAAACAGGCATGTGTCTCTTGAAGCAGATCCGGTTTCATATCAGCAACAATATGATCCAAAATGTCAATATTGCCCGGTTCGCCAAGATCAACCGGTAATCGCATAATGTCAATACCATCCAAATCGCTGAATGAGTCCGCTTTCAGTGATTTATCGGAAAATGTCAATGAACTGTTGTTCTTTAGCAGCTTATCACCGGGACTTTTGTCTATTTTCATATCGGATGACATGGAACATGAAATGGTTGGTGTTGTAATAGAAGAAACAAGTGGCAGGATGTTTTCGTTGAATTTTGGATCAATGCTGGATGCATTCAGATTTTCGTCTTTCACATACAGCGATGGTTTTGAGCTCGGATTACCAATCAGCACATCGTATACCTGTTTCTTCTTATCTTTGTTACCAGCCGAGCTGAACATTACGCCGGAACGGTTCTTTGTGTCAAGAGATTCAATTGATCTATTTGGTTTAAAATCATCATCTTTGAGGAACTGTTTGCATACGTCTGCTTCTAGTTTCTCTTCCTTGATCTCCGGCTTCAACTGGCCAATATCGCCCAGTGAGTCTTTCATACTCATTGTCGGTGATATTGTCGATATCTTATCCAAGAATGAGTTGTTCCGTGGCAGACCAACAAACTGTGACGACAGACTGATGTGAGATGTATCCATCGATGGAATGTCGAACGATGAACTGACCGGCGGTAACAAATCAGTTTCCATATGATCGATTTTCAGATCGGGCTCGATCTTAATTTGGTTTACATCAAAATCGGTATTTATAGGCACTTTTACGGTTGGTTTTCGTCCTGGCGTATTATATGTTCGTGCATAAATGTCGCTTATCTTTATTTCCGATGTATCCAATTCAATGTGCTCCTATTAAAATACAATATTCATTCAGTATTCGGTATTTAAATTCAGAATGTGTCAAACAAATCAGTGTTTTTAATTACCGGATCCTCTTGTTTTCGTGTTTTGTGTTGCAGAAGCAATTCTCGTAATATTTCTTCGGCATCTGGATTCCCGACAAGTGACTGTTGATTGGACGATTGAATGCTGCTCTTTGAAGCCATAGTACTGATGATTCTTGGCTCTGAACCGGTGTTCAGTCCAACCTGAAATTTGACCATTTTATTGTCGAACCGTTTCTCTCTACTTCTATCTAATCTACATTACGGCTAACCGATTTGAATGCAATCGAAAACTTACTTGATTGTTTCCAACATTTCGTTTTGGTTTCTTTGCTAGACCGTCTGGGTAATTGTCATCGTCAGACAGATCCGAGTCTAAGCCAACTTCTTCGCGAATTTTCGCAATCTCCTCAAAATATCGTTTCTTCGATCGAATGGCTGCTGCATTTGCAACCAACTTGTTTGGTGATTTCTTCTTTTTGTTTCGGTTTACCGTTTCGATGGCCATACCATCGTAAGCGTGCCTCAACTGTTGTTCACATGAAACAGTTAGAGACTTGGCGAGCTGACTGATGCGTTCGCAATTTTGGAATCGTTGCTCTCGACGTTGACTTTTCTTGATATTGGCTCGCAACCGTGAAATATCTGGTCGATAGTTCCCTTCCTCCAGATTTCGTTGGAAATCGATCAGCGGCGATGACTCGAAACGAGTAATTTGATTTGTGAATAATTTCTGTACCGTAGCATTGGTTTCGCGTTGAATCTCTTTTTTGTCATTGTCACAAACACCTGAAAAATTTGGCAAAAGCGGTTTCAACTGATCTTTCATGTGATCGGGTAGACATCGCCACGTATCAAGCGAAAAGAATTCATTGAAAATGCTGAGATTTTCACATAGACCCTTTGGGAGTTCAAGGTTTTGTTTTAGAATACGGGCCGGCTCAAGGGATTGACTCGATTGTTCTGATTCCGAACTGTTTGACGATGCACTTGACGACGTACCACTCTCCGATGAATCGGAACTATCCGAATCTGACATATTATCTATCATCATATTTGCACTATGCGCCATCATCACCCATTTAAAATCCAACTCAAATGACTTTTCTACACAACGTTCTTCTGTAAGTAATACGTTGAATTAGCTGACACGGACGATATTCTTTCCATGTCTTCCGGTTGCGTGTTCAAGCAAAGTAAATGGCTTCAGAAACACTGCCACTCCAATAGCCAAATGATGCTCAATCGATTTTAGGTTATGTTGTTGGAAATCTAGCGATCGCTGTATTTTCAGATTTGGAACTTCAAAGTAATTCGTCTGCTATAACTTCCTTCGAATTCACGATCTGAAAATTGAACGAGAAATAAAATTCAGTTAGTTGCAGTTAATTCAATTTGTTTCGTTTGCTCTGCAATCGTTGTGTAGTGTCAGTAGTCCCAATTCATCCATACTGACACTTTATTCTTCACTTTTTGCCAGTAAAATTGATTTGCATTTCAAATTCCAATTGTATTTGTATGCCATTGAATATTTCAAACCGAATATTTTACATTTCTAAAATCAGAAAAGCAGCATTTGTTACATCACACTAAACCAAGCGCAATACTATATTATGTTAATATATGCGATTTGTATTATTATCTAGTTCATAATAATGAACTTTTTGTTCATTTTTTTTATTTTATTTATTCTTCATTTCCTAATACTCAAAAATTTCGATTTTGGGTTCGTTGTGGTTTGGATTTATTGTTGTTGGTACCAGTGTTGTCAAAACAAATTCAACGCAGACATCAAGACAATTAGAAAACATTGACAGCGTTTTTATGTGCACTTATCGTCTGCGAAAACTGTTCAGTAAAAGTGCTATAGCCCAAAGAAAATTGCAACAAAATGCGAATAATTTGCATGTGTTCAAGAAAAAAAGCAGCACTACGGTATCTTTCCGTCGTTTAAATTACACTTTCTGCATTTGTGTGTTAATACATTGGCTGCTCTCCATATCAAAGTGAATGATGAACATAACAGTCATATTGGCTAATGTATGCCCTATGTGTGGTTTCACATATCAATTTGTGCGAGCAAAAAACAATGATAATATGTGTATTCAATTGACCACTTTTCCTTCGTTTATTCACATCGGTACTCTTAGTTTCGAATTACTTTCGTGAGTTCAATCAATTTGTACTCCGTATGCGGAGAAATATTCATTTCTTACAAACACACACGAATTTTAATGAGAAAAAAAGAAGAAAGATTGAAATTATCTCGTTGAATGCACTAATTTTTTTTGCCTTGATTTTTCTCGCGCGCACCTACTGTTTACTATCGCTTCTATTCCCTGTATATAGCAAACGATTTACGCTTGTGTATTATGTATTCTATGTGCTATGTTTTTCTATATGTCAAAACACTGGCTCCCAAAAAAATGATTTTTGCCGATATCCCAAATTTCAAACTCAATATTTACTTCATTCTCTCGTTTTTTAAACACACAATTTTTTCAACCTTACTTACACACACCTTTTTCTTTTCTTTTCTGTACAAAGAATATTTGGCAGCGCACTTTATTCAAAAGAGACACATTTCATCGACAAGCGATTCAAGTTTGTTATGTGTATTTGGCTTTTTCACTACTATGAAGAGTCGCGTGAATTCCATTTGGGACGTTTAGATATAACGTAGATTCGGCGCGTACAACACATACGCACACATACACTCGTCCCATCAAAGTATATACCGTATGGGTTTGTATTGTACGCCAACAGGGGTCGCCACAGCACTCTTAGGAGATTTCAATGCTAAAGAAGCAACTTGAACATTTTTTTTAAAAAACTAAATATGCATTTTTTGCGGAAATTTCGCTGTTCGTTTTGACTGGTCTCGATAAAAAAAAAATCGATGAGAATGAGTTAAAAATGAAAAACGTTCCACATGACGTCGGTTTGTATTGAATCAATGGTCAATTCAATTTTAAGTGGTTGTGTGGAATTGCAAGTATATTTGCTTGACTTTTACATCCCTACACTCGATATAGACAATTTTAACCATAACTGATCAAGAATTTATCATGACCACATTCTTAAATAAGCAAAAAAAAAACTGCTTGAAATATATGAATAAATGGTATATTTTTGAGTGGATTTGTTATTCAGTACCTAGTCTAACGTCGTTAAGTTGTCTTCTTGCGCTGCGGTCGGTGAACGATGTACGTTTTGCTGTGAATGTCACTCTGCTCGGTGCATGCGTGTTTGTGTGCGTGCGATATTTTGAATGAAAATGCGATTGTTGTCGGTCGTCACATTGTGCCAACTGTGAAATACACAAGTAAAGTGGTAATGGTTCTGTGTGAACGGTAGAATGAGGAAAAATGCAAGCATAAATGCGATAAACAATTTGACATTTTGCCATTGACAGCGCAAAAACTTCTCATACACAATATTCGATGCAAAACTTCTATCCCACTCGTGCTCATTCACAGTTAGCTTGGTTATAGTAGTCGAATGGTGTGCGTGTGGATCGTGTAGGCCACTACAGCGTGATGCTCTTACAATTTCGCTTCTGGTTGGAGTAGTTATTATTAGTTTGTTTCTCGTGCAGTGAGTTGGTACCAAGTGAATCAAGCGGAAAGCATCGCGAGAAAAAGAAAGAAGAGAAGAAGAAGAACGAAAAAAAAAACAACTACACTACCATTCAACTTCAAATAGATTGCGATTAATAGTTTTATTTCCTAAATTTAAACGAAATTTCCTCAATCAAATGAAAATAATCTAATTTTTTCTGAGTGTTTTCGTCTAACGGAATCATTTGGCAGGCAAATCAAGATTCGATTTGAAGTGTTGTGAATCCGATCACATTGTGTGCATGTTTTTTCTCTTGCCTTTTTCACAATTATTCGTTGCATTGTTGTGAAGAGAAAAAAAATCAGATTTGTATCAGTTTTGCATTCCGAAAAAAAGAGAAGAAAAAAAAACAATGAATAGTTCCTATTGATTTAATCTGTCAAAGAAGAAAGTATCAGAAAAGTTATTATTCAGTAAAAGAAAGCAACAACAACAACAACAACTGACAAATTGTGCATAGCAAGCAACAGTAGCAGTAAAAGTAAAAGAAAAAAATTCAATAAGTGCATAAGTATCTGAAGATTTTTCGAGAGAGCCAAACGAAAAAAAAACGAAGGAAGCCAAAATGAGCGAACATGATTTCAAACTGAACGTGGACAGTTTAATCGACAGACTATTAGAAGGTATGTGTAAACATGAAACTTGGTGTTGTATCGTTGTGAGAATTTGTATTGTTAATTTTCAACAAGCGATACAAAAAAAAGAAACGAAGAAAACTTAACAGGCCCATTGAAATGTTGTTGACTCGAAACGATAAATACCGCAACAACAACACACAATCAATCGGACAGGTTAAATGAAAGTTCACTACAAAATGGAATATCAAAATAAGATTCATATTATATATATCCAGCAAATGAATTTATAACAGCTCAAGCACAAAATGAAAATGACCCATCATCTAACGTACGAACGAGAGAATCATAATTCTGATGTGAATTATGTTCATTTTTGTGGCGAGAGAGAGAGAGAGAGAGAGAGAGAGAGAGAGAGAGAGAGAGAGAGAGAGA